AGTTGAGTAGAATTCAGAGTAGGTCAGGTTGGCAACAGTGTTAATGAGTGTTAGTTAAAATCCTGAACTCTGCATACAAAAGAAATTCGTTCATTCATTAAATCTACAATGGACGTAATCTTTCTTAATTTCAGTCTTACTAATTGTATTGTCTTGTCTTTTGCATTTTATTATTTCACATCTTCATTTGTATTATTCTCTACCCCACCCTTTTGCAATCTCTACCCTCATTAACAATGTTGCTAACTCGACCCACGTCCAATTTCTAGTCAACTATATTACGTCATCCGATTAACTTACTTAATTTTCAACTGTATTATTCTCTACCCCCGCCCTTATTTAATTTTAACCACCACTCATTAACACTGTTGCCAACCTGATCTACTCTGAATTCTACTCAATTGTATTACGTCATCCAATTCACTTAATCAATTCTATTTTATTTTCTATCTAATTAACGTTTGTTTCCAAGCCAAATAATACTTATATTACGTAATTATCTAAACTTTATAAATCTAATTTACACACACACAAACAAAATTGTATATAAATGCGATTATACAGCTCAATGAATGAATTCGCTGAAAAGAGTCTCTTCGCTGAACACCTTCTTTTCTTTTATATGACCGAATGGGGATTTTCAAGTTATTATTGATTAGTCACACTTTACCAGTCCTTACCTAACACGATTTACCTATGCAACCAATAATTCAGTACACTACCAAACCTGTAAGTACTCACGACAAAACGAAAATTAAAAAGACTTGGTTATTAGGGAAAAAGTGCTCAATTGCGCCGTATATTTGAGTAAAAGAAAAGGTAATGATTATCCAGGGGAAAAGGTCTACAACTTATCTAAGTGATGTGGCTTCATTACAAACTCAAGGAATGTGCGTATAGACAACACAACGGAAAAGTGCAAAATGGCGTTGGCGCCAGTTCGTGTATGCACAAATTTAAAAAACAAATTCTTTAGCATTGGAATGTACACTACATGCTCTTAAAGAATAAGACGTGAATAGAAGTTAAACACTCTTAATAGACAACGAATTTTCTTCGTTAAGTCAGCCTCGGAATTCTTTTTGAAGTGTCGAAAACTTTCGACTGATACAATCGTTTGTGCTAACTGAATTTAACTGATGACGTAGTGAATATGCATTCATACCGGCTGATAAACACCGCCTATTCCTTAAAAAGCGGCAAAATGACTTATCAAAATGTTCATCATGTTTTTTTTATCAGAGTTGTACCAGATATTGGACCTTCAAGGTATTGATAGTGCTAGTTACACTTACCAGTCGTTACAAAGTGGTAATCAGCATAATTACTCAACAAGACTGTGCACTACTTAATTTGTAAGTACGGACAACAAAACTCAAATCAAAGGCTCAGTTGATTAGTAATGTGCTCCGATGAGCAGTATATCTGAATAAAATACAAAGTTACGATTGTTGGGGCGAAAAAGACTTTGAATTTATCTAGCTAGCATGGCTGAGTTACAAATTCAGGGAATGTGTGTGTGTTAACAACACAAGCAAAGAGCGCAAAAGTGCCATTCGAGCCAGTCCGTGTGCGTACCTGTTAAAACAAAAACTTAAAGTGCTAGAAGGTATACTACAGACCTACAGGAGTTTCGGTTATTATCGGAAGTGTAAATTTTAACATAGTTAATTATATTTTGCCCGAACTTTCTGTGATATCGACAAGTCCCTTCTCTCCCAGACCGTCATATAGCATTTGACGGCCTGCAGAACACTGAGTGACTAATATGTATGTTAAGATTTGAAAGTGTCCCTTCATTCCGTCATTTGCTGTGTCATGTATGCTGTACAGAATTGTCTGTGATTTAGAAATGTTGGCAGTGCTGACTGATAGTTGCTTAGACATAAAGCTTCTAATTAGATGAACTTAGATAGAATGTTCAGAAACTGGCAGATATTACATGCTAGTCTCTGTCACCATGCTTTAGCCATTAAGCGCTCATTCAAATGCCTGTTAAAGTATAGTGAACGCTCAAAAGCTTCTCAACGGATTTTCGTCGTCCCGACCAATAATTGTGTGTGTTTGGACAGGAAGAGAGGGATAATTATCTAATAACATTGATGATAATGATAATATTCATAACGGGTAATGGACTCGAGTCCCGTTCAGCCTGTGGCAACTGGATAGTATCATCAGCACTCGTACATGAAAAATCTATTCCGGTTAATTAAGTTTAAATAAACAAAAGTTCGGTTGTTCAAGCTTACAGTTAACTGCTGTTGTTGATACTAAAACAATGTAACATATACTTAAATGATCAATCTGTTTTTCTTGCTAAATATCTCTGGTTTGCTTTTATTATTATCATTGTTCCCTTGGGTTCCTAGTGGAACATAGGGCTTCAACTACACGTCTCCACTTGCTTCTGTCTTCTGCTGTACTTTTCACTTGCATCCATGTTAGTCCATACTGTTTCAACTCCCCTTCACACGATCTCCTCCATGTCACCCTTGGACGTCCCACTCGCCGCTCCCCTTTCTGGTTCCACTCGAGGGCCTGACGCGCGATGTCACCCAGTGGCCTCCTCAGCCAGTGAGTGTCCAATCCATCTCCACTTTCTCCTGCATATTTGTTGAGCGATTGGTTCTTGTTTTGTTTCTTCCCATAGTTTCTTGTTGGTGATTCTTTCCGGCCATCTGATCTTCAGTATAGAACGAAGACAGATGTTGATAAAGGTTTGCAACCTGTTGGAAATATTCTTTGTGACCCGCCAAGTTTCTGATCCGTATAGAAGAACTGACTGACTTGACGTTTGTATTGAAAATCCGAATTTTGTTGTTGATGCTGAGTGACGAAGATTTCCAGATTGGTTTCAGGTTGATGAATGTGTTTCTCGCCTTCCCGATTCTCGATTTGACATCCTCGTCGGTTCCTCCTGCAGTTGAGACAATGCTCCCTCCCTAGATAAGTGAATGAAGTAACCTGTTTCAAATCCCTCTCGTCGATGGTGATTGGCGCTGGATGTTGTTGTTGGTGGTTGGTTGATTATTTTCATAACCTCCGTCTTGTCTATGTTCGCCTGGAGTCCTGTCTTTGCTGCCAGCCTCTTCGACCAGTTTGTCGGTTTTCGCTTGTAAGTCTTCGATTTTGTGTGACATCAAACATAAATCATCCGCGAAACCTAGTTCTTCTAGGTTCTTCACGTTGGTCCAGGATATCCCTGTCTTCTCGTTTCTCACTGTCTGACGCACAATCCAGTCCACCGCAATTAGGAATATCATTGGTGATAATAAGCACCCTTGTCTGCTTTTAAGTAAGTTCTGATCACTTGTAGGAAAACAAAAGCGTACTATGAACATTATCGTATAATCACTTGCCCCTCCTGCACCAAAATAAACCTATGGCTAAAATTATTGATGGATCAAACCGAATCAACTTAATATTAATTAAACAGACTTCAGTATTACAATAGAAACTGATCGGTAATTATCTTATAGTATATCCGATACCATGGTATAGCGAGACAGTACTTAAAGGTCACTAAAATATTAAAAAAACTACCGCACAGATGAGGGAAAGTAAGACAGACATTCATTAATCTGAAATCAGTATGAAAATCAGTTTCTGCCAGCACGAGGAATAAGGTTCGATCTTTCAGCGCCAATGTCAAGTCAGTCATTGGTTTCATATGGTTAAGAAACTTGATGTACCATCATCTAAGGCACTTCCAACAGGGCACTGCAAACTCCCATCATATTAAAGATCAGATGGCCGGCCAGAAGAGATAACCAACAGGGAGTTCTGGTAACGAAAAAATCCAAAAAATATGCCGAAGGAAATGGAGATGGATTGGACACGCAATAAGTAGATTGTTGAGTGTCCTCAAGCGCCAGCCAGGCCCTGGAGTGCAACTCGAATGATAGATAGCGAAATGAACGTGAGTGCAAGGGTAAAATGGGGAAAATCGGGTGAGGAAATGAAAGATTATGGTCAGTCGTGAAGCCAGATGAGAAAGATTTCAGAGAATGGGATGGAGTGGACAATACCATATTTGGCCCGTGTTCTAAGTGACAGAGACAATGTTAAGCGCGAAACCTATGACTTGCTTTATTGTTAACAACATAATTTTAGGCTCTTTTATTTCTCTCTTATTTTGCATTCTATAGTGAACACCTTTTTAAACATACTTAGCTACCTAAATTATTAACATTGGCTTACTTTTTTGCACTTTACTCTATTCCTTCTTTCGTGTATCTACTGGTTCCGACTACATTAGCACTATGAGTATTACAAAATTGTCCTGTCATTAACCATCATGTAATTATTAGTTTTGTGGTTGTTGTTGTTTTTTTGTTCAGCAATATTAACTGACAATCTTGGTTGTGAACGCCATTGTCACCACCTTAAAAATTTTGTATTATGCAGGATTACTCACACTACCACTACAAACACTGCATTAGATCTGACAATAAAAAACAAAACAATAAACCTGAAATGTTATTTTATGATTGTTTAGTGTTGTTCAATCAAATTAACTGATCATCTTGGCGATAAACATTCTTAAATATCATTTCATAACTTCTTGTATGACTACAGCTTTACTGTCACAACGCATAATCATATCATAGCTTCCACTACCCAGTACTGAGTTATTATTATATGATGTTTATTTTCCTTTCTACTTCTTGGTATTTTTTTCGCACTTTTTGATATTATTTTTTGTTGCTGTCTTTATATTCATTTTTGAAATACTCCTTTGAAATGTTTGATAAAATTAGATGCAAATATTGTAGATATGTGCTGAAAATTCCACACTGTACCACTAGTACTGTTTCTGGAATAAAGCAAATTATTATTGTTATTAACAAAAAAAAATAATATTAATATCTCCTTGATGTTTGTTATCTATTCGCCTGAAAGTCTCACTGACTGCGGATTTCGATAGTCCTTCACTTGTTATTTTTTTCGGTAAATATCACATCACATCACTCAGACGCATAGAAAAAAAAACAAATAACTAAATGCATCTTCGGTTTTATTACTTCATAAAAAAATTGTCCCATAGATGGTATTTTTTCATTCACAATATCATAAAAATACAAACTACATATACATTACGATTATTTCAGAAATCTAACCACACATACACATAAACAAACGAGTTAGAAAAGAGTTAAGCAACAAACATAAAATCTAATTGAGAAAGTAATTGAAAATTTTCAATCATAAACTTGTCGAAATCCTGAGGCATCAGATTGCTTTGATTTTCTTCGTCTTCCTTCCAAATATTTTTCATCCACTGCCGATTGTAACCCTTCTGTTGAATAACTATTGACTGAAGAACAACTGGATAAAAACTTCATCAAACCGCGCAATTCCATGAACACTGTGGTTTCACACTTGTTGTATTCGTTAAACAAATTTACAACATTAGCGATTGTACGGTTTATACTATTATAATAATTATAATAAGCATCATTAACATTATGTTGGCTAGTGGAAGATTTCATTGAAATTTCATCGAAAAATATTGTTTGAATACATTTCAAGTATTCATCAGTTGACTGTAAGCTAATCTCGATTAAATTATTGATTTGTTCAATTACAACAGGATTGTTTAAATCGCTTAAATTGAATAAATTTTCCAACTGCGCACATATCATTTCAGCACAAAATCTAGCCTCGCTGTTACTAGAAATTGATAAATCTTTTATAAGTACTAATAAATAGTATAGAGATTGAAAGAGTAGAATCACTGACATGACAACAGATTGATCACGATAATTATTTTCGGTTAAATGGTGTTGAAGTGGTGTTGACGATTTCATTGTTATTGTTGTACTTGGGCATAAATCATGCGTAATACTGTAAGCTTTTTGTAGTGTACACTGTGTGTTAATTAAAGTATGAATACATGCTTCTATGATCCATATGACTGGCAGGTCATTTATTGTTAAAGTGGTTCTACTGGTTAATTGTTTATTGATAATAATAGTTGTAAATAAATGAATTATACTATTAGGATAATCATACGGTGAGTATTCATATATTGCATATAATGATTTTGCTGCACGAACACGAGCCTATGAATATGGTAAAATAAAATGGAGTGAATACAATACAATATCAATGTAATTATGAAATAATAGAGAAGATTTGTAGCTCAGGTGGATGATTTGCAATTAATAGTGTTCTCTGAGCTGGTTGGTTTAGTTGCGAAGCTTTCGTCGTCCTTCTGGACAACATCTTCAGTGCCATTTCTAGCACAAAGTGAAATGCAACAAGCATTACATCGGCCAAAGTGGGCGTCCCCTTCGAATCAGAATCCAAGAACACAAATCAGCCATGAAAAGACACGACATGTATTCTTTAGTATCAATGCATATAGACAATTATGGTCATCAATTTGATTGGGATAATTTCAAAATCTTAGACAGAGGAAACACCAAAAGTGCAGTCAGGGAATTCCTAGAAGCCTGGTACTCAAACGAAAATGCAATTAACAAGCACGTTAATATAGACGAAATATACCAACTAATAAAAAGTAAATCAGGTGACCAGAAAGTTTAAAATCCAAGTCAATAGAAAATGGTCAATACATATGTAAAGATAGTTACCAGGAGACGCAATTATATCACTCGTGAAGAAATTTAAATCATTTCACTTTGTGCTAAATATGGCTCTGAAGATGTTGTCCAGAAGGACGACGAAAGCTTCGCAACTAAACCAACCAGCTCAGAGAACACTATTAATTGCAAAACAGATATATTTAATAAATTTATGCATCTTCGAAGGATTCGCAAGCTGAGTTACTCGACAAACACTTTTGTTTATACAATCTTTTGACAGGGGGGAGGTAAATACATACAAACACGCGATCAGTTCCATTAAATATATGATCTATAGGCGGTATGTGATAATCTTGTAGAAGCGAAGACATTGGACGTAAGGAAAGGTGTCTGTCGACTCGCATTGTCGAACACTTCCCACCCCCACCCCTTCGGAATGGCTTCATAGTATTCATGATGGTATCCCATACGACATTTGTTGGACTTTATAATTATCTATAAGCAAGGTAATAAAAAGAAGTTGTTGGTTTTTCCTGAGGCTTGAGCAATCAGTTGAAGAAGCCGGACCTATGTATTAAAAAAGGGGACAGTAGTAGTAGTATCTTCAATCTCTACCTTGACAGCATAGTTTTATTTTACTCTTATAATTTTCTTTCACTTCCCGCTTCTCTTCGTAATGTTTTTCTTCCTATTATAATTACTATTATTTTATCTTGAATACTGCTAGTTTTCTTTGGATATTTGCAAATCGAAAATCCAAGTTGAGTCTTATTCTTGATGAAGAGTGTTCAAAATATCTTATGAATTCAGATCAGATATATATTAAAATCTCGTTATTTAGTCCTATGTAGTTTAACGTATGTTTAATTTATTTATTTGTTTTTTTACAAAGTTTCATTGTTATCAAATCTAGGCGCTTATAATTGCATTGTTTCCACCCCCATAACAATAACTCCATTTTACATGCTAATATATTTGGATAGCATTATTAGAAGACGGAGATTATCTGAAAAATGTGATGTATTTGCGCTATACATTTCGAACAATCTGATCCTCACACATTTACTTGTCAAGTCGATATATATGAAAAAGTTAAATTAAACAAAGTGACAAAAAAGGATTTAAGAATGATTAACACAACGTTTGGTAATCCAATCAAATAAGGATTACCAAGGTTGATAATCCCTTACGTCCAATTCTATCAATGTGTCACTCTCCTACACATAAATTAGCAAAATGGTTAGCTGATATTTTAAGTCCAGTACGCAATGAATTATGTAAGTTTACTTTGAAAGATACATTTGAACTTGTTGACTGTCTTGTAGATATGAACATAAAAGATAGGAAAATGTATTCATTTGATGCTAATTCTTTGTTTACTAATGTACCATTGGTTAAGACTGTTGATATTCTTTGTGACTATATATCTTCTAGTTGTTTTTCATTTCCTTTTCCTTTAACTTATTTGAAAGATTTATTACTATTATGTACTGACAACGTCCATTTCACGTTTGAAGGTGAACATTTTAGACAAGTGGATGGCGTTGCTATGGGGAGTCCATTAGGACTTTTGTTAGCGGACGTTTACATGTCTCGTGTTGAGAACTTGTCTCTTGATTTAATTTCTAAATTGCCTTTCTATAGGAGATATGTAGATGATATCATTTTGATATGTGACGATCATGAAGATGCGAGTCGTCTATTAGACAGACTTAACTCTGTACAGAATCATATTAGTCTTACATGCGAGGAAGAAAGTCGCAACCAGCTTGCATTTTTAGACATACTTCTGAGTCGAAGAGATGATGGTTCAATAAGGTGATCAGTCTACAGAAAGCCCACTTGGACAGGGCAGTACCTTAATTTTCACAGTTTCTGTCCATTACAGTATAAGAGAGGCTTGGTGAAATGTCTATTTAAGAGGATTCAACGTATTTGTACGGGTGATGTTATAGACAAAGAAAACGAAATATTGATGGATACTCTTGTTGAAAACAGGTGTAGAAGTCAATTAGTCTCTAAACCTACAATCCATACCGCCCCTAAGAAAAATGTTTTCATCAAATTACCATATAACGGGGAAATAAACAGTAGGATTTTGAGACAAAGGTTGAATTCGGTCATCCGTAGAACCTATTATGCAGCCTGCATATTGTAATTGTCGAAAAAGCTAAAAATATGCTCCACTGCAAACCTCAAAAGTGCACAAGTGATTATGTCACATCCCACACTATTTACCAATTTTCGTGTGTGTGTGGTCACACATACATAGGGAGGAGTAATCGCGCTTTGCATGTGAGGGTGGGAGAGCATATCCCAAAATGGTTAGAAAAACAAATGAATTGTGAAAAACCAATAGATGCAGGTGTCAGACTACCAACTTCGTCTATAGCTAAACATCTAATCGAGATGAACCATAAGATTGATGTTAACTCAGCCTTTAAGGTCATCTATAAAAACGGTCAAGGGCGCTTATTGAAATACGCTGAGGCTATAGCTATTCATAAACTTAAGCCCCCCTTGTGTATTCAAAAACAGTTTGTTATTACTCTTAACCTACCTTGGTAATCCTTATTTGATTGGATTACCAAACGTTGTGTTAATCATTCTTAAATCCTTTTTTGTCACTTTGTTTAATTTAATTGCCCTTAATTTTTTCATATATATCGACTTGACAAGTAAATGTGTGAGGGATCAGATTGTTCGAAATGTATAGCGCAAATACATCACAATATTTTTCAGATAATCTCCGTCTTCTAATAATGCTATCCAAATTTTTTAAAAGGGACTAATTGTTTTAAATGCTAATATATGCTTTGATGAATATTATTCACTTAATGATAACGTTAACAGATTATCATTCACAAAATTTATAGGTCGTAAATTTGCTGGAAGTGACCGTTACTTGTTGTCACAATGTTCATGTGTTTGTATGTATTTAAACTTTAAAAAATTGTATGAACAACACTAATATATGTGTAAAACTTGGGCACTGTGGTAGTAAGTAATTCCATATTAGTTTGTTTATTAGATATATCACACAGTGAAGCAGTATTATTTACTGGATGACACTGTTTCGAACAAAATTTATTGTTGTTCATAATCATATCAATTGTCACAATAAATAATACTGTTTCACTGTGTGATATATCTAATAAACAAACTAATATGGAATTATAAACAACACTGTTTGTAGAGGAGTATTCAGCTGACGAGTCCTTCTAACGAAATTCATGAATTTATTGAATATTTAAAAGGCTGATTAGTGAACAAAGACCTCTTGTTCATCAGATTCCACAGCAATCATGAAAGAAATATTCTACCTTATTAACAACATTATTGCTGTTTCAAATTACCCTGAATCAATAATGTAAGGGAGATTACAGCTATAAAACTACATACTACTGATCGGTCAAAATGAGTAGATGTATACTGTCCACTGGTTGATGTGAATGTGCGTTCCGTTTTTGTTCACACTAATCAAGGGAACTACTGGTGATGGTATGAATAGTTTAGCGTAGTTAGACGGCATTAACAATCTGTAGAGACTGCCAGTTTTCCTCACTATCATCTACCAACTGAGTAACAAGACATACATACCCTTTAGTTCCGTTCATAAAGAAACTGTCTAATAAATCTAAGAATTTGTTTTATTTATGAAATACAAACTGGTCGACCTTTTGAATAACAAACATAAAAAGTAAAAGTATTTATTGATGAACTTCTCAGGACATCCATTCTTAGATAAAATATCCTTCAGAGCTTTTATTTCATGCTCAATTGTACTATCAAAACAAATTTTCCGTGCTCTATTGAACAGTGTTCTGACTAAGTTCTTTTTATACTGGATTGGAACAAATCTCTTGAAATGCATGTACTGTCCTGTCCATGAAGACTTTCTAAATATAGATCTTTCGATTGTGCCACCAGTCATTTTCGCTAGAAAAACGTCTAGGAATGTAATAGTATGGTTTTGCTTGTGTTCTATTTTGAAATTGAGATTCGGATGGTATGAGTTGAATTTTATCAGCATGTCTTCAGCTTTTGATCTGCTTCCACAGACAATAAAAATGTCATCAACAACAATACTCTAAAGAAATTAGTCCTTGCAAAACAATCCAAACAGTTCCGAAGAAACCTGACTATATCAGTTTACCGTTCAAAGGCAATGATGTACAGGAAGTAGTCAAAAGAAGACTCGATATAGCCATCAAGAGAACTTATTATGCTGCAAAACTTGTCTTCCTTAACACCACTAAGCGAGTGCTTCAACAATCTGGGAAAGACCAGTCGCCAATGCTGGACACTTTAAACTGCGTATATCAATTTGATGAGTGTGTTTGTGGAAGCAAATACATAGGTCGGACCTATCGAAAGGCGATTGTCTACTCGCATGATGGAGCATCTGCCAAAATGGTTGAAAACAGCTGAGTGCAAAGTGCTAAAATCCTGAATAACAAAACATCTTGTGGATTATGGACATGATATTGACTCTGTCAAGTCATTCACTATTGTCAGCAGACAAAGAAACAAGTGGATGCTTGAAATTGCAGAGGCTTGGGAAATTCGAGTTCATAAACCAGGTCTCTGTGTACAAAAGGAGATGGTCGTCACCCTGAATCTACCATGGTAATACGTTTTACTTATTATTCTACCTCTTATTATTATTACCATTATTATTATTATTCTTGATTCACTTAAAACTATCCTTTATCAGTAGCATTATCTTAACTCACTTCAACACTATTATTATTATTGTTATTATAACTATTGATATTACTCTGTTTGCAATTCTTGTTATATTCTCTAATGACTAATTGTAATTGAAGCGTAATGCAATTTATTTTAATTTTGATCTCTCATACTCCCTCTTTCCTTATCTATCTATTTGAACATGACCTGGAAAACATTCGCACCTGTCTTTCTGCATGACTAATTCAATGTAGTTTATTTGCTTATCAGTCTTATATCTCCCAATATAATTTCAAAAGTATATATATCCGTGTATGTAGAGTACTGAGCAGCTGACGAGTTCTACCGAAATTCGATAAATTCATTAAATCCTGCTTTATTATTATTGCTTATTTCATACTCATGAGTAGTTTCAAGTGTTTATGAAACAAATATTAGATAATAATAATATTTTTCTGAAAAAAAATAACAAACCTTGAAATATCTATCATATGTTATTGTTTTGCATAAATATTTGACGATGTCACTTAATTCCAGTATACTCTGCGAAGATGTTATTGGATCCAATTGAGAATCAGTGTCAGCATGAATAGATTTATGCATAATAACTGACCAAATATCCTTCTCGCATTCAATAGTATCATCAATTGATAAATGCTTTTTAATCAATTCACTCCAAAGTAATCTGTTACGAAATAGATGGCCAGCTGAATAATTTGCATTCCAACGAACTTTTGCAGCTCCGTTAATTTTGTCCAATACTAAGGCTTGACACAATGTCTAATATTTTATAAAAGAATAATATGAACAAAAACACTTAGTCATCTATATCTTTGTATATATTAAGAGAAAAAAACGTTTAAAAGTTAGTTTGACGCCCTAATTTCCAATAGTATGTGATTAGTGGTGTTAACCAGAGTTTCCTTTTTCCGTTCCTTTGCATCCCTAGCTGAGCATACAGTTTCACGCTTTAAGCTTTGCAGTTTCAGTAGGTTTGGTGTCTTTCTTATGTGTTGTGGGTTGCTGGCCTTACACACCTAATCTTGTCTGTTTTCTCGACATACTACCCGACTAGTAAAATATACAAGGAGAGGTTTAGGAGTGTATCGTTTGGGCTTTGAGCTCCGGACCACATGCATTGTTGACCAGCATTCTACGACTGAAACACCGACCCTTTATTCAACGGACCATTCCAAAATATTCTTACGTTAAAGATATTTTTGGAGTTCATACTTACCAGCTCAGTTTTTGTTAGGCTATTTCACTTGTATAAATATGTAGAAGGCCTAAAGTGTCTGTTTCAAACAAAACTTTCATCTCTCTCTATCGCATATGTTGTTATCCCTTTTTCGGATTGTTTTAATCGATTAAGATATGATCCCTAAAAGGTACTGTCTACTCCTGTGTGTATTTAGAATGTTTACAAGCTTCTAATTTTCAAGTTTCTACTAAACTTGGGGAAAGGCCTGATTGTGGATGTCGACTTTTTCCAATAAATGAGGTAACTGTTCTTCATTTAAGTCCTTGGGTCTCAAAATGTACTTCTGAATTTCTTACAATTGGCGTTCAACTAGATATCATAGGTTTCTTGAAGGTGATAAAGCAGAAGTATTATAATGGAATAGTTTGTGCTTCAGCTCAGAGACCATTGTTTCACGTAATATAATGTCAGTTAATATTTTACTTGAAGATACTGTGCGAAGGGAAAATATCATGCAATTAAATCCTATGAAAATTCCTTACAGTTTATAAATACTGTTCAGATTATGCACACGAAAAGTTGACTGACCTTGATCTACTGACCTGGTCTACGTAGATGGGCTGACAGTCATTGCAAGGTAATTCGTGGAATACATTATTTTGCTTATTGATTCAGCAGGTACCTTTAGCCTAAACAGCTTGCCTGTGAGCGAGTTTTTAATTTTAAATACCACTATAATTCCTGATTTATTAGGAATCTTAATTAGCGTTTCAGAAGTCCAGTCCTTATACAGTAAATCTGTAGATGTCTTAAATTCTTTCTTACTTAGTATAATTATTAATGACAAATTATTCTGCTTCATAGCATTACATCAAATTTCTCGTGTCTCGGAATCATGTGCACTGATTTCTTTAGAGACCTGATGAAAGCATTTATTTGTTTTCATATATCACTATTGTAGCGTTACTGTAACAGACAGAGACTACAACAGTCAATTTCCTAATCGCTGTCATAAATGTTTATTAAATGACTTTTTCACCGAATTAATTCAAAACAGTTCGTGATGTACATACCTTAAAAGAGAGAAAGGAAGAAAGGAACAGAAAAAATCTGGAAATAAACCTGTGTATTTAGTTCCACTTGATTAGTGATAAACTGAACTCTTAAACCCACCGGTTTGCATTATTTAAAAATAGGCTAAGCTAAAAAGGCTATATTGAAAGTCTTAGTTCGGGAATCTTGAGCAGTACGTACGTACTGATGAAGCCACCGAGGATTAAACCCAAGACTTTTAGATTGTAGGGAAAAGTCGTTGGCTATTTCAGCCACTGCGACGGAATCCATTGGGTCGTCACACTTCAAATCAATCAAGTCACTGCAAAACCAACACTTGAAAAGTAGTCTGGTGCTCACTAATGGGTGATTACAGGATGAAGTCACCTGAAGTTCTAAATCTAGTAAAACTTTGGATGCCTTAGATTCTTTCTTATTCAATACTGATGACAATAATAAGAAATTATTCTGCTTCATAGCATTACATAAAAGTTCTCTTGTCTCGAAATCCCATGTGCACTGATTTTTTTAGAGACCTGATGAAAGCATTTATTTGTTTTCATATATCACTATTGTAGCGTTACTGTAACAGACAGAGACTACAAGAGTCAATTTCCTAATCGCTGTCATAAATGTTTATTAAATGACTTTTTCACCGAATTAATTCAAAACAGTTCGTGATGTACATACCTTAAAAGAGAGAAAGGAAGAAAGGAACAGAAAAAATCTGGAAATAAACCTGTGTATTTAGTTCCACTTGATTAGTGATAAACTGAACTCTTAAACCCACCGGTTTGCATTATTTAAAAATAGGCTAAGCTAAAAAGGCTATATTGAAAGTCTTAGTTCGGGAATCTTGAGCAGTACGTACTGATGAAGCCACCGAGGATCAAACCCAAGACTTTTAGGTTGTAGGGAAAAGTCGTTGGCTATTCCAGCCACTACGACGGAATCCATTGGGTAGTTACACTTCAAATCAATCAAGTCACTGAAAACCAACACTTGAAAAGTAGTCTGGTGCTCACTAATGGCTGATTACAGGATGAAGTCACCTGAAGTTCTAAATCTAGTAAAACTTTGGATGCCTTAAATTCTTTCTTATTCAATACTTATGACAATAATAAGAAATTATTCTGCTTCATAGCATTACATCAAATTTCTCGTGTCTCGGAATCATGTGCACTGATTTCTTTAGAGACCTGATGAAAGCATTTATTTGTTTTCATATATCACTATTGTAGCGTTACTGTAACAGACAGAGACTACAACAGTCAATTTCCTAATCGCTGTCATAAATGTTTATTAAATGACTTTTTCACCGAATTTATGCAAAACAGTTCGTGATGTACATACCTTAAAAGAAAGAAAGGCTGGTTGAACCGAAGTGCTCGGTTTCAGGTTGACATGTCGGCTTCTTGAGCAGATGCTTCGACGATGTCTGGGCATTTAATTAGTATTTAATTGGTGGATGGTGACTAGCAGTGGAATCCAGGATGCGCATTTCGTCCTATTTGGGACTCGTCAGCTGGATGTACCTGCATTTCTCAGTGAGTGATGATGTTCCCACCGAGACTCGAACCTGGAACCGAGCATTTCGGTCCAATCAATCGACGGGAAAATCTAAAATTCAATTAAATAATTAATATGACCCGTTGCACAAGAGGTGGCTCTCGTGGCCCGAGTGGTCTATGGATAACGCTTTGGCGTTTGAAATTATGGGCACTGGGTTCGAGCCTCGGTGGGAACATCATCACTCACTGAGAAATGCAGGTACATCCAGATGACGAGTCCCAAGTAGGACGAAATGCGCATCCTGGATTCCACTGCTAGTCACTATTCACCAATTAAAGAAAGAAAGGAACTGAAAAAATCTGGAAATAAACCTGTGTATTTAGTTCCACTTGATTAGTGATAAACTGAACTCTTAAACCCACCGGTTTGCATTATTTATAATTAGGCTAAGCTAAAAAGGCTATATTGAAAGTCTTAGTTCGGGAATCTTGAGCAGTACGTACGTACTGATGAAGCCACCGAGGATCAAACCCAAGACTTTTAGGTTGCAGGGAAAAGTCGTTGGCTATTCAGCCACTGGGACAGAATGAATTCGCCTGGAGTTCTAGTAGGAAGTTGTGACGAGTAAGGTTTCACCAAGTTCACCATGGGGAGAAACACACTCATCGATGACGTTGGCTGGTAGTGGTGCTATACATATCATGAACTGGGAAAAGTTAGAATTGATGAACCATTAGATTCCATCCCCCCCAGTAGCTGGACAGTATACGATCTGGCCTTGTAACCTGAAGGTACTAGGTCCGGTCATCGGTGTGTGCCGATGAGAAGTCCTCATAAAGGACGAAACGGTTACTCAAGTACTTCCTGCTGATTTTCAGGGGTTCTCCGGATGAAGTCATTCCTTCAACCAGTTAGTTGTACAGCGACTCCTCCACTCTGTTATTTTTTTTCCTTCACGTTCCCTAGTGGAACATAGGGCTTCAGACTAGTGGCTTGATGTTTCTGTAGCAGTGTTTATTTCATTTTACAGGATGGGGTTGCTAGCCTCATGCCCAACCTTTCTTCTTCACCAGCATTATTTATGGCTTAGCGAGGTAAAGGAGTGCGTTGGCCGGGAATCGAACCCCTGACCATGTGCATGGTCGGCGAGCGTCCTAACCGCTTTGCCACCGACGCACCTACTCTGTTATTATTATTATATTGTTATTCCCTTAAGTTTTGAGTAGAAAACAAGTCTTCAACAGCATATCACCATTCCACCCTGTCTTCTGCAATCCTTTTTAGTTGGCTCTACTATTGCCCGTAAGCCTTCATCTCCTCACACAATCTCTTCCATGTCACCCTCGCACCTACACCCAACTTGCTGTTTCCCATTTGAGTTCCACTCGAGTGATGATCTGATGCGTAATCCCACTCAACAGTCTCCTCAGCATGTATCCGACCTATTTCCCCCCCCCCCCCCGGGTATATCTGTTGGTCGACAGGTTGTTGGTTAGTTCATTTTCAGAATCGCATATGCCAGTTTACGCAGTCTCTGGCGTAGACGTGATATCTGACTATCGACCAAAGGGCGTGTGTACTGCTCAACAGTCCGCTCCGTCCTCCTTTGTGGCTGTGAGACCTGGCCATTGAGAGTGGAAGACATGAGAAGATTAGCTGTCTTTGATCATAGGTGTCTGCGTTCTATCTCCCGTGTGAAGTGTTAAGGTGAGCAATACTGAAGTTAGGCGTCGAGTGCTAGGTAAGGAGGGGAAATCAATCGACGAGGCTGTGAAATTACATCGACTGAGATGGTTAAGACATGTGTTACGTACGCCTAGTCATAGCCTTCCTCGACAGGCAATGTTAGCTGATATTAGGTCAGGCTGGAAAAGAGCTAGCGGCGGTCAAACGAAAACATGGCTTCACCAGTCAATGAAATCTACAACAGTTAGTTTAAGCCAGCCACGTAGGAAGGTGTTGACTTCGTGTCTGGTTGGGGTCCTCAGAACGGTTGGAAACAATTGGTGACATGACTCAAAATCGTTCTCAATGTCTAGCGCAGATGCATCCACTCCTTGTGACTTATGATTTCCAATGAAACTGTTTTGTTCTTCGTTATTACTATACCTTTGTCTCACACCTCTGTTTGTGTGCTACACGGAGTGTGGCGACTTGAACTGCCACACATATGTGCAAAGTTCTATGTCAAAAACAGACGGACAGACAGACAGAATTCCTTGTTGCTAATCTTTCCTGGCCATCAACTTGGATATTGTAAATTTGTGTCACATCGTCTCAATTGATGGAAAAGTGTTATTTAAACTATTAATACACATCAAAACCAAAAAGAAATTGATTGTTAAAGCTCACCTTAACCATTTCATTAATTATTTCTTGTTTCTTTATCATACCAGGAGCTAGTACTCCCAATGCATAACCCAATGCTTTAGCTCCATTTTCACAACGATGATCATCTGGATTTTTAATGACACCATCTACTGTGCTATTATTATTATTATTATTATTAGTGGTTTTAACTGATTCGGATTCAGCTGTCAACGCATTTTTTCCTGCAATTTCAACTTTTGTCGATCGTTTCACCTCATGATTCACCTTCGTCGATTGATCCACTGTAGAACACAACTCACTAGATGGAAAGGAAAGATTAAAATCAAAAACGGGAAAATCATCATTGAAGGGAATTTTGAAATTGAAAATTTTGAGTGTTATAATACATGGGGATTACAACAACTGATTCCATGTTGCAATTATAAATTTATCCACTTTTCTTTCATAATAAAATTTAGATTTTGAGCTTATGTAAGGATTTGGAATTAATTCTAATGTAGATTTCGTCACGAAGCAGCAACACGCAAAGATCATTGCAAATCGGGAAGTACTGGACAGCAGTTTCGTCCTTGACTGAGACTCTTCATGACTGAACAGCCTAGTCCATATTAGGGATCGAACACCAGACTTTCAGGTTACGAGATCAGGCCCGTTGACCGACCATGCAGCCAGAGTTCAATGATCCGTGGATTGTTAGTTTTATTAATTGGTGAAACAGTGCTATTAACAAATCGAATTGAAGCTGTGAAATATTCTAAGTGAAAACCGAGTATTCGTCTTCACTTTCAAATCATGTTAATCAATATACAGTTCTTGATTAAATTTAGAAATCCTTTAGATTTCAGTACAGCACAAAAATTTACATTCAGACATCTAAAAAACACAAAATAATTGAGCAAAGAATATCCTTTTCGATAATTTCCTCTTCTGGCTCTACAATTATATATACATGTTTATATACATAGAACGATCTAGGATAGTAGTCAATAACAATATTAGTGTTTTTTAAATAATATCGATTTGTAAAGTAAGATCACAATGGAATTACCACAGTTCATTAAAGATGCTTAAATTATAATAATAACAAAGATATAGTAGCAAATAGAATTTCAACTAAAATTAGGAAAATTCCACAAAATTCAGGATCATTCAAACCTAGATGGCCAAGGTAAGGATAATGTCTGAATAAAAGACAAACTGCCTAATTTCGCCTCTTCCATGTGTATCTACCAATTTAACTGCTCCCGTGGAGTGAGTCAGTTACATAGGCCGTACAATTAGGCGTGTTTCTCGTCAAATTTCTGAACATCACCCTGCGTGGTTGGTTAAGCAAAGGACAAACAAAATCTATTCTCAGAGCTATTCTATCTCATCTTGTGGATACAGAACACAAGATTGATGTTATCCATGCTTTCAGGGTCATTCACCGTATACCAACGAATCTCAATTTTGCCTTAAGAATTCGACCACTAAATATTGCTGAAGCTGTTGGGTTGGATCCATATTAAGAAGCCTAATTTGTGCGTCCAAAAGAAGTTAGTTCAGACATTATACTTACCTTGACCGTCTAGGTTTGAATGATCCTCAGTTTTTGTGGAAATTTCCTAATTTTAGTTGAAATTCTATTTGCTGCTATATCTTTGTTATTATTATAATTTAAGCATCTTTAATGAACTGTGGTTATCCCATTGTGATCTCACTTTACAAATCGATATTATTTAAAAAACACTAATATTGTTATTGACTACTATTCTAGATCATTCTATGTATTATAAACATATACATAATTGTAGAGCCAGAAGAGGAAATTAATCGAAAAGGATATTCTTTGCTCAATTATTTTGTCCTTTAGATTTACCTATCATGAAATTATGAACTAACATTTTATCTTTCCGGTAGTTTTATCGCTATTCGGCACTGAGAGCTGTTGAACAGCATCCAAAAATTGACTACATAAGAGTTAATAATTCAACAGTCTATTGTGAAACGTTTGTGGTAAGTGAGAGTATGATAACGCGATAGCCTCGAGAAACATTAGGATATTGGTACCATTTCACTTCCAATTCCGTATGCATTCCATAATAAGCAAAATAGAACTTTCTAATACTGCTTCCCTCTGAATAGTAATTTAGCTATTTATTATCTCCATTGTCACAGGAGAAGATATATAACCCAGTGTTCATGTGGCCTAGTAAAACCAGACACGACCCTCATACAGATTAAGGCTCACATCACTGAACTTTAACTGGGGTATGTTGTCCGGTTAGGATCTAGTTTTTTTTGTATGTGAAGCTAGTGATTTATTGGGATGGGGTCAGTAGTCTCACATCTTCCTTTTCCTTTTTGCCTGGATTGCTGTCGGATAATAAACTATGTGAGGCATTAAGAGTGTGTTGGCCGGAAATCGGGCACCGAAACACCACCACCACCAAAAAGAAGAGTAAAATATAGTATGTTTCAGTGTCAACGAATTAAATTCGTTGAAGATACACTACAATATTCGACTAAACGGGATCAAATCAGCAGCCGTCTTGTGCATACAATCCCGTTCTCCATGGATTTTTTGACAATCAGGACAAATGAGCTCCTCCCCCCCCCCAACCTCCTTCACTTCTAAACACACCGGTGAAAAGTACTAGCTAGTTGGCGTAGCAGAGATAGTATGCCTCTTGTAGCTCAATTTAGGAGCATTGATCTTAATGCATAATGCCCTACTGATGAAGTATCTTTTGGTGCAAAATAAGCAGACGCATTGTATTCGTCGAAAACTGTTACATAAATCAAAAAAATAGAGAAAAAAAATATATTACTGATTTCAAAAAGAAACGAATTTCTTTGTCTAGAAAAAAACAACGTGATATCAGTGTCCAACATATACTGAGAAAAAATAAAACATACCAACATGTTTGAATCAGTCTATTCCAGTCAAGTGTATTTCCATCCACACCATTCACAGCCTTTTCTCTGATTTTTGCTAAAACTATTAAACAATTCCCTATACACCAGGCAGACTCAATTCCGATAAAATTTGATTGATAGACAGACCATAATTCCTGAGATTTTTCAAGTAATCGAACAATGCAGTTTAGATGACATTCGAAGGGCCTGTATTTCAAACGAAAAAAAGTAAAACAGCGTAAACGGTAGTTTTGAATTTGTTGGAAAAAAAAGAGATCTTAATGTGAGGAACAAGTTTATGATATCTTTTGATGTATCCTCCTTGTTCACCAATGTACCGTTAATGGAGACAGTGGATTTTATATGTGAGGAGATTACTATACGAAACATTGGCAGACATTGGCATTTCTGTATCCCTCTTAAAAGAACTTATTTTAAGATGTACAATGAATGTTCATTTCTTATTCAATAAGGAATACTACAGACAAATTGATGATGTAGCTATGGGCTCCCCATTAGGTCCAATCCTAGCTGATTTTTTCCTCGCTAAGTTATAGAGAATGGACCACTGAAAGGAGTAATTAATGACTTGGATTTCTACTGTCGATATTTGGATGATACATTTCTGGTTATGAAAGACGAGAATGATGCAATGAACATCCTTGACAAGTTTAATGATGCACATTCAGCAATAAACTTTACCATGACAATATCTCATTCCTAGACGTCTTCATGGCAAGGAAAGATGATGGCACACTAAGAAGGAGTGTGTATAGGAAACCTACAACAACAGTTCAGTACACTCATTTTTTGAGTTTTGTACCTTTAAAATATAAACGTAACCTGGTAAAGTATCTGGTTCATAGAGCCAGGTTAATCTGTTCAGACGACTGCCTCAATGAGGAGCTTAACATTATTAGAGAATTACTTAGAAAAAATCGTTGTCCAGAACCAATGTTCATAAAATTGCAGTTCCTCGGTGAAAACATCAACGAAATAATAACACAGCGCCTGAAGAATGCAGTTAAAAGAGCTTATTATGCAGCAGAGATACGTTGTCTCTTCACAAACACCCCAATTCTACGTTCGAGAAATAAGGATAAACTACCCAAATTTACCTCCTCCTCTATGTGTATCTACCAGTTTGACTGCAGCCGCGAAGCCAGCTATATTGGACGTACAATTAGGCAAGTTCATCGTCGTATTTCCGAACATCATCCAGCATGGTTAAGCAAAACAAACAAGATCTATTCGTAATTCTATTTTAGCACACCTTGTTGATACTGAGCATAAGGTTGATGTCATTACTACATTTAAAATTATTTATCGCATTCCGACTAATCTTAATTTTGCTCTACGAGTTCGTATTCTACAGACAGCTGAAGCGATAGGAATCCACCTGAAGAAGCCAAACCTGTGTGTTCAGAAGAAATTTGTACAGCCACTTTCCTCACCGTGGCCATCGTTACAAGAATGCATAAACAGGACTACTTCGCCCCCCTCCCCCTAAACCTATAAAAATTATAATTGTCCAAATTATTTTATTTTTTCTGACCACTTCATCTTTAATTACGTGTTATCCTTGTAAAATTAATTTATTCTAACCATTTCTACCTTTTAAATGTGTATTGATTTTCTTCGTTAATTATCAACCCATTGACATTTTGACACTGACTAATTATTGTTAACAAACATATCGCCACTTGTTTGGTAAACTGTTGTGTATTGTAATAAAAATGCTATACATATATATATCAGAATAGAGCCAGAGATGAGGATCTAATTGAAAAGTAAATATTTTTTCGCTCAATCTTTCTGTTTTCTAAACAAGGCAGATTAAGCGAGTGGTGGAGATAAATTGTCAATATGACAGATATTGTATTCGAAAGTAAAACAATAGAAATAGTAAATATATTCTACAAGTATATCGTTGATCATATTGCTTGTTTAGGAAAGCAATTCTACTAATAGCTGAATAAGAATATTTTTTGGGTAGGTAGCGCTCCACTTCTTTGCTTACGGAAATTGGTGTCCACTGTGGTGGACTAAACTTTCTCCATTTCTCTTTTTGTTTCTTTCCGCATGAATTATCGTATTCTTTTAAAGTCAGTTTTATAACATATGCGCTAATGATTTAATAATTTCCGTCTCAGTGGTTTCTGCATTAATTAGATTGTTGTGATGTGAATAGTTTCCTATCTGAGATTAACCAATGAATGGCCTTATTCAGTCGCATGATTCATATAATAAATCGAATATTTTCAAGTATTGGTTTTGTAGGGATTTTGTTTTTTGATTGGATGGAGGATTTCATCATGAGCTAACACATCAGTTGGAAAACTACTCGAATTGATGTCAGGTCATGATGAAATCCTCCATCCAATCAAAAAACAAAATCCCTACAAAACCGATACTTGAAAATTAATCTGATGCTCACTAACGATTGGTGGCCCTATTCAGGTAGGCAGTGACCTGGGGTTCTAGTGGGAAGCCGGGTTCAGTAGGGTACAGCAGGTTGGAGATGAGGCAGTAACTAATCGAAGAAGACATTGTGAATTAGTATCGCTATGTCGTGAATTGGCAGAAGTTAGAATTCATGGACTGGCCATTGGATAGGGTCCCAGTGGCTTAATGGTCTACGAGCAGAAGGTCCAGCACTGAAAAAGTATATTTTATTAGATCTCTGCCCATCAGGACTAAACCATATCTACGACCTCGAACTGTTTAATTGGCCATATTTTTCAACTCTTGGTTATCAGAATTATAGCGCGAATATAGAGCGATGCCAAGAGTGACATATTGTGGCTAATTACACGCACTAACCCAAACTTCTGAATAAGAACTTCGAGAAGTCCATTGCATCATTTCTAGAGATGATTGGTGCCTATTGTTTAACAAGACGTGAAGCAGCTAACCAGAGACTCTTTCCACTTCTTCGCCAAGTAATACCATTTAGTGACAATCAAGATCAGCGGATTACCAGGACCTCACAAAATCTAGAAAGTGGCTAAGCTTTGCAGTGCTACATGCAAGTACACACAACCACAAAGTCTAATATAACAGGGTGAAGGGGGAGATTGACAGCGGAATCCATATTTATAGAATCAACTGAAAACGCGTCCCGGACATTCGGAAAATTCTACAACCGTCACAACGAATAAGAAGGAATAAAGAAAGTATATCTAACAAAAAAATTAGTACGAGGAACTGAATAGTTTGAAAATAGCTTTCTCAAAGTCCCATTTAGAAAATTAAGGTTCATGACGTTGGTCTGCTTAAATACAGAAACCAATGTTCATCTACTAGCCGGCATACAATAGACGCAGCAAATTTAGCAGCGTTCAATGGTTCCTTGATAAATCAAGAAAATAGTAAATTGAAATTTGACAAGGTAACTTACTTATGCAAGATATGCGTTCCAATAGCATGCAAAGCTTCAGCATTTAATGTTTCATCGTCTACATCTAACGCACGCCAGAGTGATTCACTTATTGTGTTCATATCGATTAGAATGGATTTATCTTTAGGCTTTTCAAATAAATCCATAAGTTGGCTATCAATGCATGTTAATATCCGACAGCACCATGATCTATCAATGCTGACTGTACTGTTCTGTGAAATGAAAGAAGGCATATATAATAGACACATTGGACTGAGGTAAATCAAAATGAATTTTACTGCGCAATGTTAATAATATTACCGCTAATTTACTTGTGTATATGTATCCGACCTGTCAAAATGCAAGGCGTTATTTGGCTAGCTGGTATTCATTCATTTTTGATCAGCCATAAACTATGTCACTTCTAATTCCTAAACTGTTTGCAGTCAGTTCCATGACTGCCAACTTGCTTTCGTTATTTGATGTAATTTCTACAGTCCTTCTCTTTAAAGTGCCAGACGACAAGTAATTTTTTTATGAATGCTCTAATTGTAGATCTGCAGTAATGGTGGCGTCTTTGGGGTTTACATAGAAGTCTACATCAACCCCTCCAAACAATTCATTTAAATAACTTTCGAGGAGTAAATCAGTCATACATGGTTCTTGTTCAGAAGAATGTTAGTCGACAAAACAATCAACTGTAGCATGCCGTAAAAAATAAATGGTTAAGTTCGTGTGGTTATGCCATGAACACAAAGGTTTGCGACGTTTACTGCGGTTATAGCAAGTTAAAAGCTATTGTACTGACTTAGAGAAAGTTGTGCCTTAATAACACTTAACTACGTCTTAAGAAGCTTCGAACTCAACTTAGATGTCACTCATATAGCAACCATGAAAAACTATTGCGAAATACTTTTAGTTATTCTGTAAGTTATTTCATAAGCTGTTTGAGACCTATGTTACATTCAAAGGACAAGATGAAACGCTGTGTGTAACAGGGACGGGGGCGTAAATTGTTGGTGAGTCTAAAAGGCAGAGTGAAAGGGGGGGTTTAAATGAAAGACGTCTAATAAATTCAATTAGGCCTCAAAACCAAAAGCTGTTGGAGCGAAAACACTTACAAAGATTAGGGAATTTTCTGGATATCATATTGCATTTCTTCACATAACATGTCTTCAATAAAAAGATGATTACACTATAAAAAAGCAGTTCCATCATCGAGTAACTGTGCTTGATAAAATCACACGGTAATACAGAATTATTTACTAACAACATATCGAGGATGATTTACTGCTTATAATCTTATGAAGACGCCCACATAACTTTCCAACTTCGTATATGTGCAGGAAGGATATGTGAGTGCCTTGATACGATTATAAAGAGCAGTAAATTGTTCTTGGAACGTCATTAGTAAATAGTGTTTTATCAGTGTATGATTTTATTTAGCAAATTTACTCTATGATGGATCATACTCTACCACAGCATCAAAGTTCTCTTCTTATATAAGTACTTCAAAGAATGATTCAGAAGTGGTATGCCTTTTAATTGTCGAGAAATTGAGTCGAAAAAATCTGTACATGAGAAAAGTCTTAAGTCAGAAATAGATAATGAAAATGAAATGAGGGAAAGATGAGTGTAATTGTTTCTGTTGCGGGAATCTCGCATAGATGGATAAGCGGACAACCAAAGGTAAAGTCGGAGAAATCTTATGTGTGCTTTGTACTAACCTATCAGTCGTCAAATATTCTTTTGGCATTCTTTATTATAAAGTAAATGAGCAGCAGGGAGTTCAATACTCCCAAAATCAGTGTGTAAATCTACTGCTTTGACTTCAAATATTTACGCTAATGTCTTATTAGTATATCTGTATGCATCAAGAGTCTGATGGGCGTGTCTTATAAAGCATTCTCAACAGTTTGCACATTTTCATCAACATTTGCCTCTATTCAATATAGAGGGACATACGGTAAGGATAGGCAACACGGAACTGTGGCTAACAGCAAACACCTTTAGCTTAACAAATATGCTGAGGGAAAATAAGACGGAGATACATGGGCGGAGGGGTATATAAATGAGACCACTCACTAGGCCCAGTCAGACCTGGACAGCAAGCGACACGTTTGGAGCCTATTACTGACATAGAGGGGATCATTTGAGGGAATGAAGGCTTGTGAACAGCGGTGGATCATCTGGTTGAAGGGAACCGAATTCACTGGGAGAAAGTAGTCAAAATTGGGAGCGCGAGGAATCGGTAGTAATAGGTATGTGAGTAGTACGGATAAGTCTCAAGCGGAGTTTAAATGGTGACCCTCTGTTCAAGCTAATGCTATGGTGAGTTGGGGCAGCGGCGCAATGGCTCAAGAAGCTTTCTCTAGGATGAAGCTATCCTATCAAGTTCTTTAATACCTCGCCATCTAAGACACTCTTCACAGGATGCACTTCAGCATCCTTATCTGATGATTCGCTTCGAAAGAATTTCAGAGGCAGGGGAACAGTATTTCACTTCAGTTGAACGCAGTCGTAGCATTTTACCTACAGCATTAGGTCGAAATAGTAGAAATAGGAAGAGACGGAAGGATGAGGAACTTTTACCAAGTGACACGTGTAGTACCTGCGAGCTTTAAGTCCCTAATACGGGAGCAGCCCGCGAACGTTACTGGTGTGGGGAGCGGCTCCGCTGCATCTGTGACGAAACCCTTTCATTGAATTAAGACTAATATACATTAAATAATCAGCGTTCAAAGTTTAGGCATATCTATTCAGCCTGCTGAACGAATCCTTCTTTACTAGCTGGGCTACCAACGGGAAGCCTTATACAAAAACGCAGAAAATGAAAGCAATGTAGGGGGTGAGGGTCGTCAAAATGTTTAGAACATAAACCCTAGTGAATAGGCTGATGGATCCAGGAATGTATTAAAAACAAATATTTATGGTGATAAATTGTGTGCCACTTCATTGTCGCTAACTGACTTGGAACTGTTTGTGCAAGAATTAGTTAACACAGAAGAGTGGGACTGAACACAATGGAGAAATATCGCCGACCACAAAACGGGATCTAAATCATAACTATGGTACAGCATAGTGTGCCGGAACATGCGGCACGATATGAGTTAGCGACAGTGGCTACCCAAATACACGGATTCGTAGGAGCTGGTGCCTGCAAGCCACATAACCCGCTACATATACGCACAATTTATGCATTACGACAGCAAATTCGGGATACATGCGCATGTTGAGAATAGCATATGGCTTAAGGCAACATGAGCAGTAACATCTAATGGTGTAAGAGAAAGCCTCGAGACAATTTACGTTGTAGCCCCAAGACCTCTTGATCGTATAGTGACTATAAGTAGACCCAAACAACAAATGAATCTCAAGCGAGGAGCAAGCCTAGTTACAGCAGAATTGAATAGGAGGGGTGAAGGAGGAGTGCAGTGTTCACAAATATCGAGGTCCAATGAAACTTGGTCTCTAACGCAAAGCTTACCTCGCACAATTATACTGAGTGAGATCATGAGCTAATACAGACAGAAAAGTTATACACAAGTTTCACCTACACAGATGCAATGGAATTCACCAAACCTATTTACTGCATAAGCGGGCAGCTGATTACAGTTACATCTAGTCATTTGAAACAATTATACGAAACACATGCATAGCCCTACTTAAGACACTATATTGTCGTTGCATTTTGAATCTTAAACAGTGGCCAATCACTGGAAGAGGGCATAGCTGTCTCTGGCCATTGTTTTTGCCACACTCGTATCATTCTGAGTCCTCATGTATACTTATTCGCTCCATCGCTTTGATATTCAAAAGGTTCGTACAATAACGTGACAAAAATATTGAATATGTTGAGTTTTGTCCACACGAACCCTATGACCTTCACATTTGTTTTAATGTTCCACTGTAAGTTTTTCGTCCAATCAGATTGGCCGGCTTTGTTGTCGCGCCGTCCGAGGGTTATTGAAAATGACGAAAAATGTAGTTAAGGTAACTTGTTCACCTGCATACAAATCAAGTAATGGCCAGCCTATTCACTTACATGTTCCTGGAGATACACCGATTCACCTTCACGTTAATCAAAAAACCCAAGTATCTCGACTTCCAGAATCTGGAAATGTGAAGCTAACTGACATTGGTCCATATCAGGCACCGTGGGTGCCACCACCAGCGAAAACGAGTTCAGGCAAGTTTGTATAAATTACAAGCAGCAAAAAATTAGAATTTCTAAGTTAATTGAGAGGTGGAACTTCACTTCAAACGGTAATGAGACAAGAATATATTCCCGCTTCATTTACCCTGTATTATTCCTTAAATTACATACACTAGTTTATATTAGTTGTCCTAACCGTGATAATTTTTTCGTCTGTTTTTTAATTGAAGAAGTTTAAACTGACAAGTGGTTGCTAAAAAACTATCCCAATTGTAAATAGTCAAATATAACTCATTTACATGCAATGACACGCACTTCTGTTATTTTGAGACTAACTTTTCGTACTCTAAGCTACATACGATGCCCCTATATCACTATGTAATAGAGTGAAAACGAAGTAGAAAGACCTCCGAAACCCATGAAAGGAGAAATAGATAATGTGAGCGGTCTCATTACATCATGATCAGCACTACTTGCCGTTCATTAATATGCATAGTCACAGCTTTCTGTTGTCTTTGAGATGAAAACTAAAAATCATTTAGTTTGTTTTTAGAAGAATAAGCGTAATGGTTGGGAGCTTTGTTAACTGACCACCTAATACTTAACATTTCACTCTAATAGTAGTTATCATGGTTCCTAAATAAAACAAACTACTTGAAATGCAACCCTATAGGACTAACTATTTTACCTTGTTCAGAATTTAATACATATATTAGCCATATAAGCTAACGTCTGAAAAAATCTACTCTGGCTGAGTCATTTGTCATAACATATTAGGCTGAGAATTGGACACTGTCAAAATTACCGTTCATAGCCAGAAAATTTCACACGGCATAGTCATTTTATAGGTGACTTCGCCAGTGTACTATGTGGATATGGGAAACAGATTTTTAAAAAAAGACTTTGATACTGATTTCTAGATATTCTTAATCATTAGGCTACCTGAATTGATGTGTGCTGAATTGTGTAGTTATGGTGTTATAGATCCCAGAAAAATGATTTCGTGTTACAAAACATCTACAATTAAGAGGCTGCACGAGAAACTATCAGTTATTATAACTTTTTAGTTACGCTACTTGTAAACAGCTTGTGTGAGACACAATTTTTGTGAGATACACTCACAACATGCGAGTCAGATAAATCAAGTTTCAGGCTAAATGATAATGATGCCAGTTAAACAGATACAGTCTCAAAATGGTTAGACTGAGGCTTGTAGAATAATAACGAAGACACGCATTACTTAACTTTTACTATCTGCACTAAAAAAAGTGGTCCGTAGCACCCTGTCTAGTTTACAAGGGTGTAATCTCAAATAAAAAATACCTATATACACCTTAGAAAAACAAGTATTACATTTTATTAAGATAAAAGTACTTGATATTTATGTCCAAGCCTATTTTCAAATGCTTGATTATCTACATTTCACGTTTTGTAATGAGATGTCCCAGCACCAGTCTAGTAGAAACAGCACCAAAGCTGATAATGAAAGCTCTTTTCACAATTATCCGAGTGTATGGAATAATAAGTCCGTTACTTAGAGCCTTGTACTCAATTCCTCAATAAGTTAGGAGTTATTACTTTTTTGAATGAAGCACGTTTGCGAATGTTATGAAGAAAAAGGTGATGGTAGTTGGTAGACTAAAGAAAGAGACAGTATTTGAGGAAACATAATACGCCAATCCAATGTTTCATTAAATTGTTAAGGTGCAAGCTTTAGCATAGAAAATACAAAAAATAATATCAGTGTGCGTGAAAAGAGCATCAAGTAAGCTCTAAAGTAGTTAAACTCAGAGTTTTTGCGAAGAAAAGTAATACAGCTAAGAACGTTATAGGTTGCTCTACTCTGTTGCTAACACGTTACAATTGCTGAGCTTGACAGATGCAGAAACAGGATCATATCAAACAGCAAAAAGAGAACTGGACTGCTAAATAGTCTGTTAATTTACTGACTATTGGTGTTGGTGTACGTGCTGAATCTGCACCTCTACTAATGGTTGATGTCGGGTAATTGATAGATCGTTGTTTATAAAAACACTGTCAGCATGATTCGGTCGGTCTTCGACATAGAACTTTGCACATATGTGCGGCAGTTCAAGTCGCCACACTCCATGTAGCACACAAAGCAAGAGAAGAAAGAAAGAAAGCAGAAGAACTGCATAATATAGACAGTAAACAGAGGTGTGAGACAAAGGAATAGTAATAACGGAGAACAAAACAGTTTGATTGGAAATCATAAGTCACAAGGAGTGGATGCATCTGCGCCATCCACTGAGAACGATTTTGAGCCATGTCACCAATCGTTTCCAACCATTGGTTTTTACCGTCCCGAGGACCCCAACCAGGAAGTCCACACCTTCCTACGTGGCTTAGACTAACTGTTGTAGATTTCACTGACTGGTGAAGCCATGTTTTCGTTTGACTGCCGCTAGCTCTTTTCCAGCCTGGCCCTATATCAGCTAACATTGCCCGTCGAGGAAGGCGATGACTAGACATAAGTAATACATGTCCTAACCATCTCAGTCGATGTAATTTCACAGTTTCGTCGATTGATTCTATGATTACTGGTTTATATTATCCTTTTTTGACCAGGTATCTCACTTAACTACTGAATGCTTGTCTACACTTTTTGGACTAGTATTAAATACAAAGTATCGTTGTCATATCTATAACGACTGTTTAACAAAGCTATGCAACTTAAACAGCTCTTCTGGTCACATGGATTAATATCGAAATTTTATAAACGAATTCGTTAGCTACTTCTGATGATTAGAAATAGAAGCTTTTCCCTCATTCAAATATATATATGAATGTATATATATACCGTCATTAGTATATATGTTACAGATATCATTTTATTTTATGTCTCAATTTTGAAAAATTTGGTTGACCGAATATACTAATTTATAGGTCGATTTTCATGTGATCCAGCACGTCGTGTCACTATAAAGCCTGACAGAAGAAAACACAGATCACGCTCTGCAGAATCATTCAGTGAGAATTTGAATAAGGTAATTTTAATTGTACAACTTTGACACTATTTGCAAAATAAATCCTTGTTTTTTGATAGGTAACGTCTGCAGTTGTGTGCATATATGTGTTAAAGTCTTTGGTGTCTAAATGAGACACACAAAACAATCAGCTGCCAGTCTAGTCTGTTTTGATTATAATTAGTTCCTAAATGTTTTGTAAAAGGCCATTACAAAAACAAAAACAAGCAGAACTGAACTGATTTCCTGTCAGTAGCTTTCAGAGTGTGCGTCGGTGGCACAGCGGTTAGGACGCTTGCCGACCATGCACATGGTCCGGGGTTCAGTCCCCGGCCAACGCAGTCCTTCACCTCGCCAGAAATAATGCTGGTAAAGAGGAAAAGTTGCGCATGAGGCTAGCAACCCCATCCTGTAAAAACAAACACTGCTACAGAAACTTCAAGCCACTAGGTTGAAGCCCTATGTTCGACTGGAGAACGTGAAGGAAAAAAAAGCTTTCAGCGTGAAAGACTCACTGCAACATTGTAGTATGCGGCGAATTTGGTTTGTTTCAGGTTTAACCCCACATATTGATGACAGTTATACAACCATGGACTACTGAACAGCTGTTTCATTCTAGTCCGGGACTTTTTAGCAGTACACCCATGAATTCTGACTTCTACCAATTTGTGATTTTAGTGAACCCACTAGCCAGCCAATTTCGTAAGAGACAACACTAATTGCTCCTCTGTGATATCACCATGGCCTTGCGAATCGCACTTAAATTTGCAGATAAGAAGGGAATAATATACCTTGAAACAACAACACAAATACTTATAATGTAGAGTGAATGGGTGTGCATGTAAGCTTAACAACTTAAAATTGAGCAATCAAGTCGGAGGAACACACTGTTGAGAAATTAAAATCAGGAGATAGTGGAAGTTAACTGAACATAGTTTGTCTTAGTAATGCGAAGCTACTTCTGGGACTCAACAACTTTTAAGTAGTGGAACCCGAAAGGGAAGCGGCGAGTTGGTCGTCCAAGGGTGACTTTGAGGAGGTCATGTGAAGAGGAGATGAAAACGTGTGGGCAGACATGGAGCCAGGTGAAGACTCTAGCAGAGAACAGAACGCAATGGAGACGCACGGCTGAAGCCCTAAGTTCCTGTAGGAATTAAAGGATGCAATAATATAATAATAATAATAACACCGTACTGTTTGGTGTTGCAAAAAGAACTTTAATCTGATATTTTTTTTGCTGTTTCCAATCACTCAGGTTTTTATTGTTCTAGGGAATAATCCCGTTTTCCTAATTTTTTTTACTTTTATATTAAGGTTAGTACTACTGAATTAAACGAGGTCGAATCTGACAAAGAAGTACCAATTGAATGTCCAAAAGAATGTATTTCATGCAAAACAATATCTAATGAAGAACAACTACTACACACTTCTGATAAACTGAAAGATACGCACATATACGGGAATAGTAGATTATTTGAAGGGGATAAACCAGCCAATGAGGCGTCATTTTGCACTAGTTCAATTCTAGACGAATGGATTAAGGATTTGGATAATGCAATTAGTCGTGTTGCAAAATCAGCAAGAAATATAGTTGACTGTATTGAACAGGTGAATACACTTTGTTTTTTCAGGTTAATTTTGCCTTTCACGTTTTGTTTTGTTGTTGATGAATTTGGACTGAAATGTTCAGACCCTAGTACAGAGATTTAGACGATGTTAAGAGGTTAACACGGTGTTTTGGTTGGTGGTAACTAGCAGTGGGATCCAGGGTACACATCTCACCCTATTTGGGACTACTCGTCAATTAGATGTGCCTGCATTCTTCAGTGAGTGGTTGGTATTATTCTGACTGAGACTTGAATGATAACTGATACTCGTTGTACAACTAGTGGTTGTAGTGGTCTAACGGATAATTCTTTGGCGTTTCCAACTATAGGTGCAGGGTTCGAGTCTCGGTGGGAACACCATCACACACTGGGAATGCAAGTGGATCCCCTAGTTGATGAGTTCAAAATAGGATTGCCAGTCACCGCCGATCAAAATAATTTCAGGTGAATACTTTGTCATTTAAATTAGCGGTGGATGTTTTAGTAAATAAAAATAATCATCTTACAGGGAACAAGATTTTACCAAAATGATAGCGGGGCTATGAGGGAATTTTATTTTTCGTTCCTTATGTTCCAAGTGGAACAAAAGCTGTCACTGGTCTGAAACGAGACAAAGCTGTGAAACCCGGTGGAATGGTTTCAGAGGCATTTAATTACGGTGGAGACTTTACTGTCTGCGTTGACTAAGGTAATAGGCAGCGTCTGGGAATCAGAGAAAGTCCCGCAGGGTTGTGTAAGTCACTGATTACCCCCATATATAAGAAAGGAGACAAGTCTTCCTGTGATAATCTCAGGGAGATTAACTTGACTAATATAATATCTAAGGTCCTGGGCTCAATAACAATGCGTAGACTAAGCGGTTTTCCGGAGACACACACACACACACGAGAGAACCAGGCAGGCTTTAGACAGATTCTAGAACATAGGCATACTCACGGGTGCCCAACAATCGTTTTATTTCTTGACCTAAAGGCGGTATTCCTTTCCGTCGACCGAGAGGTACTCTGGCGATGTTTGGCTGTGAAGGCAATGTCGGGAAAATACATTGCAATGATCAAGACACTACTCGAACTCATGCAACCAGGTGATGAGGGCTTACGGCGACTTGTCATCTGAAGTGGTGACAACTAGTGGTGTCTGTCAGGGATGCCCACTGTCCCGATTTCTATTTAACTTCATCATAGATGTACTAATGGGATTAACCCTAAGGGACTTCCACAACTAAGGGATTGACTTGCTACCAGGGAATAATCTGGTTGACTTAGAATATGCAGATGATATAGTCCTCCCTCCTAGGTGACAACGCTGACAATATAGAGCAGAGTCTTCTGAACACCTTGAGGAGCAGCAACCTACGAATGTTTGGCGTGCGATTCGCTCCCGTCAAATGTAAGATGATGCTACAGGACTGGACTACATTGACTCCTGGTGTAGAAATAGGGAGTGAATTCGTAGAGCACATTGACCGCTTCACTTATTTGGGAAGTTTCATCAGCCCCAACTGGTTGGTCTCTGATGAAATCTCAGCAGGGATACAGAGGGCTAGTTTCGCATATGCCAGTTTACACCGTCTCTGGCGTAGACGTGATATCCGCCTATCGACCAAAGGACGGGTGCACTGCTCAGTAGTTCGCTCTGCCTTGGTCATCGAAAGTGGAAGTTACAAAAAGCCTAGATGCCTAGACGAGCAATGTCAGCTGGCAAAGGATTGGTCAGGTTGGAAAAGAGCTAGCCGAGGTCAAACCAAAACATGGCTTCACCAGTCAATGAAATCTACAACAGTTAGTTTAAGCCAGACACGTAGGAAGGTGTAGACTTCGTGACTGGTTGGGGTCATCGGGACGGTAAACACCAATGAAGACTGGAGACAATTGGTGATATAGCTCAAAATCGCTCTCAATGGCTGTCACAGATGTATCCACTCTTTATGACTGACAATATTCAATAAATCTATATAAGTATTCGATACTACTGTTATTCAAGCCTTATTTCTATGTTTTGCATTTGCTCAGTGAAGTGTGGCAACTCGAACTGCTGCACATAGGTGCAAAGTTCTACGTTGAAACCAGTCAGTCAGTCATTGAGTACCTTGATATGATCATGAGCAATAAACTGTGCTCGAAACGTCATCAGTAAGTAGAACTGTGCAACTAACTTCCCATAATGGAAAGAATGAATTGTTTAGTGTAAACCATGTTGTAACTAATATAGTCTACATACAAAGTTTAAAATTAAGTAGTGGAATTACCGACCGGCATTTCTAAGTATATAAGATATTATACCTATCAAGTTGAATGTTACTAACTCAAAAAAAACAACAACATAAAAACTAGATAAAATGAACAGTATAGTACTATGTGAAGAAGGAAGAACACAGGTTCCAAAGAATACAATAAATATGCTTGCATGTTATTTTAATGCATAATTTATAGGTTGCATATGAAGGTAGACGTGTTGATTCACACGATATGTTACGTCTTGTGCAACCAAGAGATGAATTACTGCTACAAACTGAAGTTGCTGGACGCGCAGGACGAGAATTATGCAGATGGGCGTCAAGTGTTCAGCAACAACAGAATGAAATTTTAGCCAATCGATTATCTCAAACACAAACACGTGAGGCGAATCTGAATGCTGAAGTGAAACGCCTAACAGAAAAACTGGATCGAATGGGTAAGTAGTAGTAGTAGTGTAAAGAAGACAAGACTGAGGAGACTGAAAGGAATGTTTATTTGGTGAAACGTATGGTACATAGCTAAATTTGGAATACCATATTCTCAACCGGCTATTTGCACATCTTTACCACATCCTTGACGAATTGGTCGAATATCGTCTCATTCGATAGCTTCTTGGATTCTGCATCATATGGCAACATTCTTCTCATGGTTCTCTTCTTTGATTGCTCTTTTCAGTGTGCCAAACATGTTGTTACTTCGTTCCTGATATACTACTTATATCGGATTATAAGTAGCACTCACCACAGTAGTAGTAATGCACCGACACGCAGATGAGTTATACTAGAAGTTTTGAATGAATAACTCTAGATCCCCTTAAACTGACACGTGAAAATCAATGTGATGTTCACTAGGTCGCAAGGGGGGGGGGGCTAAAAATCGCGAATTCGTGACCTGTTGGATTCAATTCCAGTAGCTGAATGATCGACGAGCTCACCTCGTAGCCTGAAGCTTTTGGGTTCTATCTCCGGCAGAGTAATGGGTGTGCGTAGTGATGAAGAGTCCTAAAACTGAGACTTTAAACAATGTTTAGTGTCGAATTCTTCCGATGACGAAAACTAAACAGCACTAATCTGATGGCAGAAAGACTTGCATACACTGATAAGGATCACACGCCAGAAAAATACAAGTAAAGGAGGTAGAGTAATAAAATTTTATGTTATCAAGCGATAGCTCAAGTGTGTTTACTTTTATGACTCTGTAGTAAATTATTGTGATTAGTGCGAAGTGCTTAAAGTCAATCCACAGAAACTACTACAACTGAAGCGAAATGAATTACGAACATTGAACTTTTATAAAAAAATTGCAGCAATTCAAGCTAGCACACTTAGAAGAAGCACGCATAATAGTAGTAAAGGGAAGAATATGACATCATTTGCACGAAAATGTGCAAAATGTGGAAGCATAATCCGATGAAGATTCTTCTTTTCCTTCACGTTCCTCAGTGGAACATAGGGCTCCAAGCTAGTGGCTTGAAGTTTCTGTAGCAGTGTTTATTTTTACAGGATGGGGTTGCTGGCCTCATGCCCAACCTTTCCTCTTTACCAGCATTATTTCTGGCTCAACGAGGTAAAGGAGTGCGTCGGCCGGGTATCGAACCCGGACCATGTGCATGGTCGGCGAGCGTCCTAACCGCTATACCACCGACGCACAATCCGATGAAGATTAGAGAGGAGTGTTAGAATATATCTGCACCACTGAGAACAGTTTTCAGCCATCTCGGTAACAGTCAGTGTCCAACCATTGATTTTCAGCACATTTCCACCACCTCAGTCAGATATTCTACATTTTTTCAGGTGTCTCAAATCAACAATGAAAGACTGTATAGACTAGTGTCATGTTTTGGTTTGACTACTTCCAAGTCCCTACTGCTACCAGCATAATCATAGTTCGGGTGGTTGAGGCAGTCAGTGGTTGGAATAAGTAGTAACAAATGACCAAACCGTGGTAGTAAGTAATTCCATATTAATCAGGAAATATGTAAGGAAATGTAAAAATAAAATAAATAATGATAGTAGCGATAGTGATAATAACAATAATAATGATAATAATAATAGTGATAATAATAATAATATTAATGAAGACACCAACAATAAGGAATCTAAATCATCAGTAGTAATTCCATACAAGGAAGGAACCTCGGAAGCCTTACGCAGAATTTTTAACAAGGCAGGAATAAAAATGGCTGGCATTCAAACCCACAAACTAAATTAGAAACAAGCTTTGTCGGTTAAAGGATCCCGTAGGGCCTTTAAAACAAAACAATTTAGTTTATCTAATACCCTGCCGGAATGATTCTCAGGTCAAACACATACGTCAAACTAGCAGAACAGGGGTAGTCAGACTAGCTGAACATAAAAACTTAGCAAAATCTAGATTGGTTGACCCGAATAAGATAAGAAATCTAGAGAATAGTTCAGCTATAGCACTACGTACAGTTACACACAAACATACAATAGGATGGGATAGGATGACAGTTTTAAAATCTAATGTCACAGGGTATAGGGAGAGATTGATAACAGAAGCTTTGTTTATCGAATCAACTGCAAATACATGTAATAGGAATGATTCATCACCTGTCCCCGATATCTGGAAGATTCTACTACCCCCACGACAAATAGGAGAAAACTATAAAACTCAAGTTTCAAAGTCGTGTGATTACAATTGATATGATTATGAACAATAAATTTTTTTCGAAACGTCATCCAATAAATAGTACTGTTTCACTGTGTGATACAACTAATAAACAAACTAATATGGAAATGACCAAACCATCTCAATCGATGGAGTTTCACAACCTTAGCATACCAATAACATCAATTTTGTTGACCATTTAGTACAACATAATAAAATCCCCGCTAGATCTTCAATAGGATAACAGAGTTAACCAGTGGACATTGCATACGTTCTTAGCTTGATATCACGTATGCGCTGAAAATGACACAAGTTGGCAGAAGTTACACGAGCTCTTTGTATTTGTGCTGAGATTTCATCAGCAATTAGTCCGTTTGAGGCTGATTTTTTGCCTAATTTTTAAGAAAATTCCTTTACGTTCCCGGTGGAACATAGGGCTTCAAGCTAGAGGCTTGACGATTCTGTAACAGTGGTGATTATTTTTACAGGATGCGGTTGCTAGCCTCATGCCCAACCTTGCCTCTTTACCAGTCTTATTACTGGCGTAGCGAGGTAAGGGAGTGCGTCTGTGGCCGGGGATCGAACCCCGGACCACATCCGTGGTCAGTGAACATTCTACCGCTGTGCTACCGACGCACATTTGAGGCTGATACAACTTCCTAAATAAGTGAAATGGTGTTCAGCGTGTCAGCCATTTCACTCCTTATCCCTAAACTTGGAGTCGATGCAGACGACTTCTGTAGCAAAATCTTACATTTGATCGAGGCAAATCGTATGTCAAGCATCCTGAAATTCTTCCTAACAGTGTTCTGAAGGCTCTTCTCCACTTGGAAGAACAACATAAACTACAAACTGCATCAAAAACGTTTACGAAATATATATATCGCCTTACTAAACCAAATCGTTGAGAGCCTTGAAGCAGTGTTACAATTACAGGTGAAATGGTTTCCTATCTCTATGTTTGGGGGGTGGGGTAGATCAATTAACTTGAAAGTGATTTTTCGTCACATACCAACGATACCTAGTAAAAGACGTTGATAACTAAGGATCTTTATGCTCATAGAATCGTATAATTTAGTTACGGTCACCTACAGATGCGTCGGTGGCATAGCGGTTAGGACGCTCGCCAACCATGCACATGGTCCGGGGTTCGATTCCCGGCCGACGCACTCCTTCACCTTGCTAAGCCAGAAATAATGCTGGTGAAGAGGAAAGGTTGGGAATGAGGTTAACAACCCCATCCTGTAAAACAAGCACTGCTACAGGAACTTCAAGCCACTAACTTGAGGCCCTATGTTCCACTGGGGAACGTGAAGGAAAAAGAGATCCGTGGTGAATCGAATGGGAAATCATCAGGTTTCTGTGTAAACATTGAAATGTTCACCAACTGGGTGGGAAACCAGTGATCTTTGACTTCCAACTGTGGTGATTTTTTTAGCAGACGTAGGTTGATTATAAAGAGTTTCCTATCTGGTGAATTATTTCACTCTGTAGTCACGGAAATAGTATTATCTAAACGTCGTTTGGGTAATACACTTTTACAAGTTTGATCACTATCTAACATCAGTTAGAGAACCATTGGAAACCCAGGGAGAACTGGACATATGTTTCGTCCTACCTTACGACTCTCCAGCAGTACGCACCCACTAAGCTTCGAACCCAGGAACTTCCTGGAATCGGTGGAAATCCCTGATAATTTACCTAATACTCACTAGCGACTGGCTCTGTATAGGAAGTTACCCAGAGTTCTAGTCAAAAGTTGTGACCAGCGGCGTTCACGAAGTCAGGTAAGAGAACAGTCACTTGCCTGTGACATTATTAGCTGGCGATTGCGACGAAACATCTGACCAGTACATTTCCTGGTTTCCAGTCGTTCTCCAACTTATGTCAGCTTGTGATCCAAACAACCAATCAAATCACTACAAAGTGCCACTTAATGATTATACTTTTGTGTGTTACATAACCAGTGTTCACTTAATGATTGTATTTGTTTGTATTGTAAATGCTTTCCTTTTCAACTTACTGAAACACAGAAATCGACTTAGAAGTAGCTCAAAAACAATTAAATGAACAACAAAATGAAAGTTTAAAGTATAATACAGTTCATGAATCTATGGAAAGCGTTAAGGGTCATTTACAACGTCAACTTCGACAACGTGATTCAGAGTGTAGTCGGTAAGATGTTTGTTTTTCTTTTTTCTTGAAAGCTTTTCAGTCATCGTATATCCACTATTGTGTTTAATAATTTCTTTTCTTTTCCCATGCAATATATTCACAGCTTATTTTAGATGATTTTATGGACTCCGCATCTTTGTTTGTACTATTATGCTTCATATCTGAACTTCAATGGAGAAGTTTCTTATACTAGTATGTTAGCGTGATACCTAAATTCTTGATGGAGAAACCTCCAAATAAAAGACCGATCTTAGCCTGCTCTTTCAAAATCAGAATTACGTAGATTCAGGCGAAAATACAGTCAACTATATCACATGCGTCGGTGGTATAGCGGTTAGGATGCTCGCCGACCATGCACATGGTCCGGGGTTCGATCCGTGGCCGACGCACTCGTTTACCTTGATAAGCCAGTAATAAAGCTGGTGAAGAGGAAAGGTTGGGCATGAGGCTAGCAACCCTATCCTGTAAAATAAACACTGCTACAGAAACTTCAAGCCACAAACATGAAGCCCTATGTTCCACTAGGGAATGTGAAGGATCACAAAATATAGGCAGTTGAATTTTTAGATTTTAATTCCTTTAAAGTTACGATCGTGTGATTCTTCGGTGTGCGTGGGCATATGCTGCAGGTTCGATTCCAGGCCGACGCACTCATAAATATCGTTTATTCGTTAGTAAGTAAGTCCACTTAAAGAGGGAAGGTTGGGTATGTGAAGCTAGCGAACCCACTCCGTAAAAAAAACACCACAGCTCAAGCTTGAAGCCTTACTATCTATTCCACTCGGAATACAAAAGAAAAGGTTACGATTGTTTCAATTTCAGTCAAATGTTGTTGGCAAGGTGAAGTCACCGACTTTTTGCAATTAATCGTATTGAAAAACTGTATGTTCTTTTCTTAGGTACCCAACACAGATGGTTAAGTGTCACAAGTGAAACAATGACAGAGCAATTGACCGATTCACCTATTCTATATGTCATATAACTAACTCTTCATTTGACCTTTCTTCACTCTGTTTCGCGTTATTTTTTAAAAAAATCTCTGTTTTATATTGATGCGACGTAACAATTTGAATGGGTAATGATTTCCTCTAGCGACTGGCCCTATTCAGATAGGGGGATTCCAGTGGGAAGTCGTGACCAGTAGGGTGCAGCAGGTCGGGTGTGAAGACAAATACTCGCCGAAGACATTGGCTACCGGTTGCGCTATATCGTGAATCGGCAGAAGTTAGAATTCATGGACTGGCCATTGGATCGGGTCTACGAGCTCGCCTTGTAACCAGAAGGTCCTGGGTTCGAACCCGAATGGGGTGAGTGCGTACTGATGAACAGTCCCAAACTAGGACGAAACAACTGTCCAGTACTCCCAGGTTTTCCAATGGTTCTCTAACCAACGTCAGCTCATGATGAAATCCTGTGACCGATTTCCTCTCCATATGGTTTTGTTTTTTTCCTGCTACAGGATTTGTCGTGTGACGAAGGTGGATAAAACTATACTTTCTTGGTTACAAGTTTAATCATGAATTGACATTGGAAAGCCAGGGAGTACTGGACAGTGGTTTCATCCTGGTTTGAGACTCCAGAAATACGCACCCACAGGGTTCGAACCCAAGACCTTCGGGTTATAAAGCGAGTTCCTAAACTATTCAGCCACTGGGACAGAATCCACTGGCCCATGAATTCCAATTTCTGCTAGTTTGCAATATACATAGCGCCACCATCAGCCAATGTTGTGGGTGAGCAGCTGTTCACTTAGCTGATTTGGTGGACCCAACTGGTCACAAATTCCCTACTAGAACTCCGGGTAACTTCATGTTTGAAGCCAGTCTCTAGTGAGCATCAAATTAATTTTCAAGTGTTAGTCTGCGAGTACTTGATTGGTTACAGGTCGCTAATAACCTTCTAAATGATGTCAGCGCATGACTAAACCTCTAACCAATCAAATCCCTGCAAACCAACACATAACACTGACTGAATTATGGTGCTGCTGTCTTGCCACAATCAATGAAGCATGGAGCTTACAGTTTAGCCATTCAAGTATCTACATTTTATTTCTGTTAAAAAAGTACATCAGTCAAGTCGAGGTTTAGGCGAACACCCTTAACAAAATGAGTAGCAATGTATAAACATCCATTTACTGCATATTCAATTACATAACTATGAGGAAATTTATTTCATGTTATCCTCTATCTACAGATTGTCTATTCAAGTACGTAATTTAGAAACACGTCTAGCTGAACAACAAGCTCAAAACCAAGTTCGGCTAGAAACAGCAGAAGCCAACTTAGAACGTATGCGAGAAACAAAAGAAGCCTTGAAACGAGCCGCTAAATCACAGAAACGTCGTGCAGATGAAGCTGAAGAAGCATTTCGTGAAATCTCTCATAAACTAGCTACTCAAGAGTCTATTATAGCCGGTTTTCGGGTAAGAAAAGTATAGAACTCCTCTATATATATATGCATTTAGGCTGAACATTGTGATTTATTTTTGTCTTTAAGATGTTAAATTCGTTGTTGGTAAGAAATGAACTTTCTCCTATCCATTATATTGCCTAGGGCTTCAACAGTACATCTCAATTTCATTGTGTCCTCTACAGTTTCCTTTAGCTGGGTTCACGATTGAACATAAGATCTCAGTTCCTACTCACACGATCTCCACCATGTCACGCTGAGACTCCGTAGTCGTCATCCACTCGATAGCTTGGTGTGTGATGTCACTCAGCGGTTTACTCAGTGTATTTTCGGTCCATATTCATTTACTTTAGCAAGTTTCTTGTGCGATAGGTCCATGGTCCCTCATCTAATCTACAGTGTGAAGCGAAGAGAGCAGCTGTTGATGGAAGTCTGCAGTAGCCTGTTGGAAATGCCCTTCGCGAAGGGCCCTTCGTGAAAATCGGAATTTTTTCTTCTTTGTGCAACAGATTTCCAAACTGGTTTCAGAGTGATGAAGGCCTGTCTTGCTCTTCCGATCGTGACTAGCTCTGACATCCTATGCTGATAGATTGAATACTGACCGCAGGTTTAATACACTGAAGATTCGAAATGTTATTGTTGTGACACAGAAAACTGAGCATAATATTATTATCATCTCCTGTCTCGTGTTTTACCACTAGCCACAGAATACTTTTAAAACCAACATAATAATATGCAATACATAGCACTAAAATCTCGTCAGATTCACTAAGAATAGCTCAGGATTTTCTACGGTAAAGTGGATTCGCACAAAAAACTTGGAGGATCTGGACTTGGCCGATGATATTTGTCTGATTTCCCACAAAAACTGGGAGATGTGCAAGTGAAAAGCAACAAGTTGGCGACAGAAGAAGCATCCAGAGAAGATAGGACTTCAGGAGAACATAGAGAAAACAGAGGTTATGGAGATTCCTGGCCAACAGAAACAGCAACAACAACAGACAACAATCAGCATAAATGGGAAGAACCTGAAAGAAACAACCTCCTTTACCTACCCACCTACCTGAGAAGCATCGTTTCAACTACAGGCGGACAGAACTGATGAGGATATCAAAGTAAGGATCGGTAAAGCAACACAAGCTTTCACTACTCTCAAGTCTGTGTAGAGGTCAACAGCACTCAGAATAAAAAATAAGATCCGGATTTTCAACTCCAATGTGAAGTCAGTGCTACTATACGGATCAGAGACTTGCACTGCGCGTCACTAAGAGCACCTCAAACAAACTACAGACCTTCATTAACAGCTGTCTTCGCTCAATACTCAAGATCAGATGGCCGGCCAATAAAGATAAGCAACAGGGATCTCTGTGAGCCAACCAACCCAGCAGGAACCGATTGTGAAACAAATAGGCAGGAAGAAATGGAGATGGATTGGCCATACTCTGAGGAAACCATCAAGTGACATCACTAGAGAAGCCATTGCTCGAGTGGAACCCGAAAGGGAAGCGGCGAGTTGGTCGTCAGTGCAAGGGTGACTTGGAGGAGATCACGTGAAGAGGAGATGAAAGCATGTGGGCAGACTTGGAGCCAGGTGAAAACCCTAGCAGAGAACCGAACGCAACGGAGACGCGCGGCTGAAGCCCTATGTTCGTCTAGGAATTAAAGGAAATAATAATAATTTCTACGGTGGAGTTGCACTCTGTTGGCAAGCTGCCAAAAACTAATATGAAACAGGTTTCGAGTAGTCTTCAATTCACAGTTGTTCTCCTCTATTCATATTGAGGGGTAAAACTTTTCACATTATGAACTTTTTTATACTGAAAACCAATTACAAGTTATGTGCTTCATTATTTTAAGTATAATTTTTATTATTTTATGTTGTTTAGGCAGAATTAGAAAACTCTAATCTACGATCTAGAAGCCGTAGTAAAGAACGTCAGTTACATGATGATATGATAGGTGGTGGTATATTTGATAGTAATGGCCTAACGAATGCGAGCAGACCACCTGTATACACTGATGGCGATAAAGATTTGAGAGAGGTAAGTTAGAGTGACAAAGCAATAACACTGCACTAATTGCTTTTTCTCCTTATTGCTTTGCATTCAGAGTGGGACACAGGACTGCAAGTCTGAGCTTTAAATTTCAGTAGCGGCAGTGTTTTACTTTCACGGGGTGGGGTTGTTAGCCCCACGCTTAATCCCACTCTCTTTACTGGGCTTATTATACTACTGGCTAAGCGAGGTTTAGGAGTGCGTTGACCGGGATTCGAATCAGGACCATGCATGCATGGTTGGTGGGCATTCTACTATTCAACATTAGCGGACTAATTTTTTACATATTGATATAGACAACAGTGTTGAATTTCGAAGGAAGATCTGAGTCATATCAAGATTTAAACCAGCTGTTATTACCTATGTCCAACAGTTGACTAGGTCTTAATTTCACATCAGTTACTATTGGTTGGCGAAGTTAGAATTTAAGCACCAATAAGTGCCGGTGGAGTGTGAGCCCCACCAGTGACCTTGAAACGCTCAGTGAGCAAGTTAGTGAGACCTAGTAGATAATATTGTAATCATGAATAAAATATGCTGAATGAAGTGCGTCGGTGGCACAGCGGTTAGGACTCTCACCGACCACTCACATGGTCTGGGGTTAGATACCATACCGACGCGCACCTGATATCAATGGTGGGCCTGCAAAATTTGGGCTACCGATATCACATACTGAGAATTCCATACTTCTACCAAAAATACATTGTGGAATCAAGGTATAATCAAAATATTTAAAAAATGTTATTAAATGGGTTATCTGACAAGTCTCATCAGGTTAGGTTTGGGAAAGATTAAGGGTTTAGGCTAAGGGCGGGTTAGGGTTAGGTCAACCTAACGAGGGCTACCTTAGGGTTGGTTCGAATTAGATTAGGGTTTTTTTCTTTTTTTTCCTTCACGTTCCCCAGTGGAACATAGGGCTTCAAGCTAGTGCCTTGAAGTTTATGTAGCAGTGATTATTTTACGGGGTGGGGTTGCTATCCTCATGCCCAACCTTTCCTCTTCACCAGCATTATTTCTGGCTTAGCGAGGTGAAGGAGTGCGTCGGCCGGGGATCGAACCCCGGACTATGTGCATGGTCGGCGAGCGTCCTAACCGCTATGCCACCGACACACTCGGTGGGGTTAGTTTAGGGATATTTTCGCGTTAAGGTTACATTGAGGAAAGATTAGGGTTAGAAAAGCTACATCATAACATGCATAGAATGTGGTTACATTACTTGGTTGATACTCCAATCCAAAACTGAGAGGTTTTTTTGTCACATGTCAGAGAAAGGTATCCTGTTTAACAGTTTTCATGCCTTTTAATTCTTCATTATTTTCATGAATATATGCAAAAGTCGCCTCTATCATGCGGTTGATGCTTTCAAGGTCAATTATCCTTTAGTACTTTATTAGTGCTTAACATTTAACTTTACCCTAGGTACTTTGTCCAGTTGTTATATGATGAAGCTGAGTGATGGTCAGGAAAGCTTAGGTGGACGGTTTATGGGAGTGCGAGGGCAGTTATTATCACTTCTCAGTTTCTCACACCACGTAAACAGTAGGATGATTAGTATTACATGACCGCATAACCCAGGGGACAAATGTTTAAGGTCCATCATACACACACACACACACACACACGAGGCCTGTTTGAATTGGTTCTTGGCGTTGCATCCGTATTAAGATCTTACTGTCACAAGGTGAGTAGAGATGTACAACTTCTCTAACTACCCACCACCCACTTCCAGAGCAGAGAAACAGCATAGTGAAACAACTTTATATTATGTTGTTAACTGCTTTCAGTCTAACGGCTATCCAAACGGCCTCCAGGAATATTAATTCCCGCCATCGTAGTTTGTTGGGTCAGTGCGATATACAAACCTTACCACCACCACGTTAATGTCGGGCAATTGTCATATTTTACTTAGCTTTTATGTAACATTGCAGTAATGTTTATTTATAAAAGTTGGTTATTAAACTGTGTCTGAAATAGTCTCAGTCAAAAGATATTCATCAGCTGAATTGTAGACCCATTTTTCACCAAATTAACCTGTCAATGTTTAAATATTCATCGTTGCTGGTATTTTTTCCGCTTTTTTTCTCTCTTTTGATTGAATCAAATCGATGGAACCAAAATAAAATAAAGGAGAATATCCGATTACGTGAAGTGGCCTTAAAATGTGAACAACGATTGCATACAGCTGAAGAAGAATTAGAACGTCTACGAACAAATTTATCTAATTGTGAAACATTATTATATGATTATCATGGTGATGCTGCAACTCAAGCTAACCGATTACACACATTGAATGAACGTTTAAAGGTAAACAACAAAAAAAGTTTTCATTTTGTCTTCCATGTGTTGTTGCTTTGAGACGACAAAGTTAAACTTTTACACGAGATTTTACCCAATAATTAAAAAGTAAACAAAGAAAGCAATCAGTTAGGCATCATGCCTTAGATCCAGGCGTTGTGCTACATGTAATCCTGGATACAAGACTTCATGCCACTATCGTCTAGCCATCTGATAACAACTATTCCCCCATAGAATAGTGGCCACCTTACAAGCGTAAATGATCAAATTCACTGTGCACCAACACTAGGGATTAGACACATTACCTAATGTCCAATCAAAGTAAAGCATATTCTTTTCGTTAAGTTTTTCTTCATCAAGTTCTACAGTAGTCATATGCGTGCAATCATAGTACTTGGACAGGACAATATACACACATTTTCACAGATTCGTTCCTATCAAGTACCAAAAAGAAATTTTGGTGAAGGCCCTCAGCCACAGAGTTAGAGCTATATGCTCAGAAGAAGTAATTGAGGATGAATTAGGCATTGTATATGATACTTTGATTGATCGAAAATAGCTATCGCGAAAAATTTATCAAGAAACACATGACAAAGAAAGCGGCTGAAAAGGACTACTCACTATCTGTAAACAAGGATCCACTTTATATACGACTACAATTCAAGGGCGATATACACCAAGTGAGACAATTACGAGAAAATTGAGAAAATCAGTTCAAAGAACTTTTAATGCTGGCGAACTACACGTATTATTCTCTACACGAATGATGGTGCTACCTCGACTGAAAGATGAAGTACCTAGACTAGCCACTTCAACTTGTATCTACCAATACAACTGCGCTTGTAGTGGAGCGAGTTATATTGGCCGTTGCTCTAGGAACTTGATTTCTTGTGCTCGAGAACATCTTCCAATATGGCTAAGTAAAGGTGTAGTGAAAACCATTAACAGTTCGCTATTGGACCATCTGGTGCAAACCGGCCACAAAGCCAGCACCGATGAAGAATCCTTCTCTATCATCATCTACCGGGTGCCTGATAAATTGCCAAAATCATCGAAGTACCGCATGCTCCAAACAGCAGAGGCTATTGCAATTCGCCTCAAACAACCAGTGCTCTGTGTTCAAAAGAAGCAAGTCCAGCCACTACTACTACTGCCCTGGCTGGCCTTCAGTAGAGACTATAAATTCATGAATTTGTAATATTACCTTTCCTAATTCTTCTAACATTCAGCGTGTATTGTTATGTTGATGCTGTTCAGCTGTAATCTATCAATATTATTGATTCGATGTTATTTAAACAACATTAACGTTGTTCATAACATTAGTTCATCCATTCTCTATTATGTATGTATAACTGTAGAGCATGATGATGAAGGAGTTACCGAAAAGAATATTCCTTGTTTACTAATGTCAGTCTTGTGAAGTTAAAAAATAGGATCATATTATTGTTGGACAATTCCAACTGCAGGAATACAAAATTGGGCCTCACACGGATGCTGAATACCCTTAAATCACATTATTTAGTTCTAAGATTAGAAAAGCTTTGATGGGTTGTAGACTGATTCCAACCACTACATTGTTATATACTTTGAAAAGTGTGTTCTATTAGCTACCCTCCCTGCCGCCTTATCTTTAGTTCATCTAAACCTCCTCTCCTGTCAACTGGTCATTTTACGTTTTCTGTTGTAGTTGTTGCGACTGGTGTGATTTTTCCCCACTGTTACAGACATATCTCTAGAGGCTATAGTACTACACTTTATGTTACACATCTCAAAGAGAACTTATGAAAACCAGCAGACAGAAAGTCATTAAGTTTGGATATTGATGATGAAAATTGTGAGCAATCCGTCGTTTGTAATTCTTATTTTCAAATTTGCATTTATTACTGTCAATGGTTTTTTGTAAAAATTTACACATTGATGCCACCACGGGGGATCGAAACCAGGGACCTTTAGGTTACGAGGTCAGCCTTATTGACTATTCAACTACTGGGAAGCAGTTCTGTGACCAGTGAATTCCAATTTCGCTAAATGATAGAAGACTGCATGGAGAGATAGGTGCGTACTGATGAAAAGTCCCAAAATGAGATGACACAGGTGAAGAGTACTCCCTGGTTTTCTATAGTTCTCTAATTGATATCAATCTATGGTCAAACCTGAGACCAATACTTAGGTGTTCGTCAAGCAGATTAGCCAGCATACAATAAATCAAAATGACGTCATCAAACAGCAGACTGAGTGTGTCAGTGCCAAGATTAGTTACGTAATATATCTGGGGAGGGGACTTTCGTCTAACAATAAGAATTTAGAAGCAGGTGACACAAAATTTAGGCTTTCTTGGTTGTTGTTATCGAAGAACTAAGACGAAATCAAGTGCTCACTAGTGACTGACTCCAGGATGAAGTTGCCAGGAGTTTGGTGAATTGATTCGTGACCAATTCGGTCTACCGAGTCATATATCAAGACAAATACCCGCCATTGGCAAAGGCTAGATTCCGCACTATGTATCACGAATCAGTCAATGAGGTAGCGTCCTAACCTGAAGGGCATGGGTTCAGTCCGTGGTAGGACCATGAGCGCGTACCACTGAAGAGCCCCAAACTGGGACGAAACAGCTTTTCAGTACTTCCTGGCATTCAGTGACTGTCTAAATGAAGTCAGTTCGTGATTGGTTTTGAAACCAATCAAATCCATGCAAAACAATACTTGAAAAATCAGGTCCATCTTATGTAGAAGGTATATTTTCTTGGGGTAAATTAATAAAAAGTAGTTGAACCAAAAACTACCCTCAATAATAATACGTATTCTCTTAGTATTATTATCATAGAATTTCAACTCTTTAAATCTGATCCTCTTTTTTCCACTTTACTACTCCTCCTTACAGAAAACTGAAGCTGATAGAGAACGTAGTCAAATTCAATTAGACGATGTAGAGAGAAGATTATTTGAAGCAGAAAATCGTAATCGTGTCTTAGAGAGCGCATTGCAAATGCAGGAAACTAAGAAAGGTGATGACTGCACAAAGCCTAGTACACCAATTCACAAAACAACAACATTATCATCACCATCGAAAACACTGGGTAAACACCAACACCACCACCAACAGCAACAACAACCATCAAATCTCAGCAACGATGACTATGCAAGTCAAAATGTTAAATTAAATATAGACAGTGTAAGTTGCTTATTTAATCTCTCATTATGGATACACTATAATCTCATAGAACCAGTTCACTCTTGATTACTTTGAATTAAGAAAGAAAGAAAGAATGGGAGACATATTTACAGGATAATAAGAGCTCCTCGCAATTCACGGATTCTTGTCAACTAACTGCAAATAGGACGAAATGCGCATCCTGGATTCCATTGCTAGTCACCATCCATCAATTAAATACTAATTAAATCCCCAGACATCGTCGAAGCATCTGCTTAAGAAGCCGACATGTCAACCTGAGACCGAGCACTTCGGTTCAATCAATCGACGGGAAAATCCAAGATTCAATTAAATCAATATGACCCGTTGCACAAGAGCTGGCTCTCGTGGCCCAAGTGGTCTAGTGGATAACGCTTTGGCGTTTCAAACTATGGGCACTGGGTTCGAGCCTCGGTGGGAACATCATCACTCACTGAGAAATGCAGGTACATCCAGTAGCTGACGAGTCCCAAATAGGACGAAATGCGCATGCTGGATTCCACTGCTGGTCACCATCCACCAATTAAATACTAACTGCATACAACCTAAACAATTTCAGAATAATGTTTAACTCCGAAGTGATCTAAGTAGACAGGAAGGTGTGGGCGCAGAGTTCAAATTTTGCATAGAAAGAAGGACTGACTAGAGACGAAATACAAAATTGGTAGCAAGTACATGGTGAGGAAGGACTGAGAAGAGAGGGAGAGAGTCTACTAGATTTTCCGAGCAAAGTGTTCTCAAGTGTTGCGATTACCAGACACCTGATTAACACCGTGTACATACATACAGAAAGAAGCCATTGCTATGAAAAAAACTTCATTCCAATCTCAGTGTTGTTTGCCTATTTCATAATTCGGCTTCCGACTCCCACTTTATCGAACTTCCCATCAAATTATGTTTAGATTACTTTTATTGTTCAATTTTGTAATGCCTGTAGTCAGTCTCTTTTTCTCTGCAAATTTTGAGCTATGTACCCACCTTCTCGTCTAATTATTCTTTAAGCAGTTGACCTTCTTTCTTTACCACTGAACAAATTGTCTACTTACATCATATCGGAATTGTGTTCCTTATACTTTCTTCCAATAATTCGGTGTCACTTTGTGGTGAGAAAAAAGTATGCTCAGACAGACGTTTCTTTAACTGGTAGTCTGATATTGTGTAGGTTGTATGCAGCTGACAAGAATCCAAGTTCATAATATCCTGCAAAGATATATTCGTTCTTTCTTTGTTTAGCATATATATTTATCATTCTGCTTGAAGGCTACATGCTTTTTATGCAGGATTTCTAGTTAATGAGGACGCAGTTGACAATTAGGATTTCTCTTCTTAACTGCATAAGGGTTTATTTTATTATTATTTCCTAGAATTCCTAGAGGAACATAGGGCTTCAGCCGCGCGTCTCCATTGCGTTCGATTCTCTGCTAGAGTCTTCACCTGGCTCCAAGTCTGCCCACACGTTTTCATCTCCTCTTCACATGACCTCCTCCAAGTCACCCTCGTACTGACGACCAACTCGCCGCTTCCCTTTCGGGTTCCACTCGAGAAATGGCTTCTCTAGTGATGTCACTTGATGGCTTCCTTAGAGTATGGCCAATCCACCTCCACTCTAACTGTATATTTGTTTCACAATCGGTTCCTGGTTGGTTTGCTCCCACAGGTCCCTGATCTTTTCTGGCCGGCCATCTGATCTTGAGTGGTGTTGAGCGAAGACAATTGTTAATGAAGGCCTGTAGTTTGTAGGATTCTTAATAAGGCAGGAATCAGGGTGGCCTTTTATACCTATGATAACCCGTTAAGGGACAAGCTATTTTGGCTAAAGGACCCTCTTGACCCAACTAGGTAAACTAATGTAATCTACAGAATAACTTGCAATGGTTATGAGGCTAACTACATCTGTCAGTTGCGCACATTCTCGATTTGATGGACAGAAGTAGGCTGTATATGTTTAGAGAAAAACTGAGCAATCGCAATGCATACACTAATTACACAAAATTGTACAGTAGGGTGAGACACAGCTACAGTTCTAAAAAGTTTTATAGGTAGGTAGAAAGCGAGGTTGATCACTAAATCTTTGTTCATTTAATCGACACCTAATCTGTTCAATAGAAGTGGAGGAAGGAAAATATCCCCCTCTCCACCAGTCAAATCAAAGAATGAGGAATGATGGAAAGCCGTGTGAGCGCTTTGATATTTTTGTAAGCAGCGATAAATTGTGCTGGAAACGTTTGTCTGTTTTCAACATACGACTTGGCACCGATAAGCAGCAGGTCAATTCGCCACATCCCATGTAGCACACAAAGCAAAAGAAGAAAGTAGAAAAAATGCAAAATAGAGACAGTATACAGGGATACGAGACAAAAGGAATAGTAATAACGAAGAACAATGTAGTTTCATTGGGTATTATAGGTCACAAGGAGTGTATGCATGTATGACAGCCATTGAGAACGATTTTAAGCCATAGCACCGATAGTTTCCAACCATTGGTTTTTACCGTCCCAAGGACCCCAACCAGATAAGAAGTCTACACCTTCCTACGTGGCTGACTTAAACTAACTGTTGTAGATTTCATTGACTGGTGAAGCCATGTTCTCGTTTGACCGCCGCTAGCTCTTTTCCAGCCTGATCTTATGTCAGCTAACATTGACCATCGAGGAAGGCGATGACTAGACATATGCAACACATGTCCTAACCATCTCAGTTGATGTAGCTTCACAGCCTCGTCGATTGATTTCCCCTCCTTACCTAGCACTCGACACCTAACCTCAATATTGCTCACCTTATTATGCCACTTCACACGGGAGATAGAACGCAGACAGCTAGCCAGTCTTTTCATGTCTTCCACTCTTTTTGGCCATGTCTCGCCCACAGCCATAAAGGAGGACGGAGAAACAAGACTGTACCACTGTATGACTCTATCAAAAAAGGATCTATTCTATGATGGTATTATAATGTACGACTCAACTCTTTTCTCTGATAATTTTGTTTATTTTGTCTTTTTATAGGATACAACAAAAACGTTAAAAGATCGACAAACTACTAAGACAACGACAATCAATACTACTTCTAATAATAATAATGCAAGCGATGATTTAATTCAAGAATTACGACGTGAATTAACTGAAGCACAGAATGAAAAAAAGCAAATAGAAAATCGTACAGAAATACGCCTACAAGATTTACGTGCACAATTAAATCAAGCTGATGCTACAAATCGTAGTTTACAGGCTTATTTAACTTTCTTGAAACGTTCTTATGCCAGTGTCTTCCAGACTGATGATATGCTCCTGATTAATCCGGTATTGTTCAGTCAGAATAATCCAGTTAAACGTACATTGGCAACAAAACACTTAGGCGAGAATATTGTCCCTAATACTACTACTACTAATACAACTGCAACTGCAACGGATCGTAATCATAACAATAGTGCTGGGAAGGTTACAGGTCAGTAGGACATAGGTACATATACAGATTTCATTGTAATGTCACTCTGTTCAGCAAGGAGTAACCAGCATAGAAGACAAAAGACAGCAAGTTGGTAATTATATATACACCTTTCTTTTTTATTGCATAACGTTTTATACAGTATAGTTTTCTAAGTGCTAAGACACAAGTACTTCTACATAACGAGTAACCACCAATACTGTAACACGGTAAATAAAAGCCTATATACACATCTACATAGTGAATGAATGAATTAATATACACAACACAATGCCTGTGATAATTTCTTAAAAGTTTTAACAGTATTCAATAGTTTGTCACAGTTGTTCGTTTTTTTTTATATTGCTTGTTTGCTTCTTCTGCTTCTTTACATGAAAACCATTGATTGGTCAGCCGAAAATAAAAAGAATTCAGCGCATTATTTGTTTTTTGTTTATTTGAAAGAATTTATTGACAATGTTAATTTTTCAATGTGGATTTCATCACGAACCTACATCAATTAGAGATCAGGGAATACTGGAGCTTTGTAGCAGTGTACATTCATGAAGCTACCACCTTCCACATAAGAGACCACCTAGCTCATTATTGATCATTCAGGCACATTTGGCTAGACTTCTAACTTTATCAATATGTGGCAGAGCACCGTCCACAGCTAATGTCTTCTATATCCATCCACTTCATCTCGACATGGTCGACTCTACTGGTGACAAATACTTCCCAGTACAGCTTTAGGGCATTTATCCATTAACCAACCATCAATGAACTGGAGGCTGCTATTTACATTGTAGGTTTTTGTAGGGATTTCGCGTGCGGGTGGTGGATACACAGTGTTGAAGAGTCATAAACTGGGACGAAGCAGCTGTCCAATCAATGCTCTCTGGTTTTTAATGATCTCTTACTGATGTTGGTTCGTGATGAAATACACATTGAAATTAATCCATATCCCCGCCCCCCCCCCTACAAAAAACCCACAATCTAATTGTTAGTTTTTGTTTAATGAACATCATAGAGTATGACAGTTTTCTCATTGCTTATTTTTCCAAGTGGAATATATAGAGATTCAAGCTTGACCTTTGGAGTTTCAGTAGCGATGGTGTATTTTTGTTTACGGGATGATGTTGCTAGCCTCCCACCTAACCTTCCTCCTTTGCTAGGTCTAAGAGAGGTTTAGGAGTGTGTCGGCCGAGAATTAAACTCGAACCGCAGTCTACCAGTGAACCACCACCACCACCACCACTGAAGCACCCTATGACAAATTAAGTTCATGACAAAAAATAAATAGTTTCAGTTGGGGATGGAAAAGAGTTGTGTCGACTGTCCATTGAAATAAAAGATTTCCCAAAGTTTATCGTTATATTGTTATTGTATATGTATATATAAAGCATTCAGTGTATTTGAGATGAATTTGAATTTTAATAACAGCTTGATTCCACACCGTGTTTTTTGATACAGATATGGAATTTTCAGCATGTGATATCGGTAGCCCAAATTTTGCTGGCCGACCATAGATATCAGGTGTGAGTCGGTAGGGGGATCGAACCCCGGACCATGTGCACAGTCGGCGAGAGTCCTAACCTCTGTGCCACTGACGCACAATAGAATAGAATGTACAAGTCATCTATCGTCAAATGGATATATGGCTGTCACTGTCCTCTCTCTGCCTCACTTCCCAATGAATGAATTTCAAGTCATAAGCCCTAGGAATGGTGCTATTTAACAGCGACTTGTCTTAATATTGGTTTTCGGGAATGAATATATAGTGGCCAGCAGATATATCGAAGGAAATCGAGTGGACATTCCCTGAGCAGATCGTTGGATGACATTTTACGCCGGATGACAAATTAGGTGTTCGACAGTGTAACATAGAGAAGATCGTGTGAAAGCTTCTGGGCAATCGTGTAGCCAGCTAGCTAGCTAATAAAGGACTGCAGAGAATCAAGTGATGATATGGCAATGTGCTGATGAAGCCATGTTTCCCTCAAAATATAAGGGGTATAGTAATTATAATAATAGAATAGAATAGAACAAAATAGAAAATATATAATGGTTTCAGCTATCACAAAAACCATGCGCACATTCAATAATTGTGAATAATATATGTGTAAGGGAGAATACGAATTGATCGATGTTGTTATTGTTATTGTATGAAAATTCGATTGAATTTAGTAAAAAGTAGACAGTTAATGGGTGAAATGGGTGGGATGACTCATTCTAGTCTATATAGTTTTACTGTATGTTACTACTACTACTAATACGCCTCCCATATGTCTATCTATCTATCTATCCTATATTTCTTATCGTGTTGACGAACAATAAGTTTAGTGAACCGCCCAACACTAAAATTGCCTAACTTGACATTAGACAGGTTGTGGGGTATGTCGCCAAAACAAATAATAACCCACCCTTTCGTCTCCGCCCACTTGAGTGGACAGAAAAGAGACAGAATTTCCTTGGTTAGTTGGTTTTATATCTCACATACCTTAACAACGACGCTTATTGTAGCATTGATGTGTCCACGTGACGACATTTAGACGGTACTTTGGAGTTCTTGCCAGTCTGTGACAGTGAATATGTTGCTTCGTAGGTGTACCTAGTCTTCAAAAATAAACACACGCACGGCGTAATGCCCACTTGTGTCCAGGTGGCACTCACTCAAACAAGGGGTATTTTAAAGGTGTTTGTCTATCTATCTATTTTCGACATAGAACTTTGCACATATGTGCGGCAGTTCAAGTCGAAACACTCCATGTAGCACACAAAGCAAGAGAAGAAAGTAGGAGAAATGCATATTAGAGACAGTATACAGAGGTGTGAGACAAAGGAATAATAATAACGAAGAACAAAACAGTTTCATTGGAAATCATAAGTCACAAGGAGTGGATGCATCTGCACCAGCCATTGAGAACGATTTTGAGCCATGTCACCAGTTGTTTCCAACCATTGGTTTTTACCGTCCCGAGGACCCCAACCAGTCAGGAAGTCTACACCTTCCTACGTGGTTGGATTAAACTAACTGTTGTAGATTTCATTGACTGGTGAAGCCATGTTTTCGTTTGACCACCTCTAGCTCTTTTCCAGCCTGACTCTATATCAGCTAACATTGCCCGTCAGTCAAGGAAGGCGATTGACTAGGCATACCAACACATGTCCTAACCATCTCAGTCGATGTAATTTCACAGTCTCGTCGACTGATTTCCCCTCCTTACCTAGCACTCGACGTCGGTGGCATAGCGGTTAGAATGCTCGCCGACCATGCACATGGTCCGGGGTTCGATTCCCTACCGACGCACTCCTTTACCTCGATAAACCAGAGATAATGCTGGTGAAGAGGAAAGGTTGGGCATGAGGCTAGCAACCCCATCCTGTAAAATAAACAGTGCTATAGAAACTTTAAGCCACTAGCTTGAGGCCCTATGTTCCACTGGGGAACGTGAAGGAAAAAAAAAACCTAGCACTCGACGCCTGACCTCAGTATTGCTCAAGTTCTTTTAAGGGTGTGCCACATTATCACTCAGTTGGTCTTATGTGATATTGTATTCCATGCTTAGACGAATGCTGTAGTCATCATATCACAAGTTACTTCTGACTGTTTTAAAGTGTTTTACCGACTCCTTTTTTTACACAACTGGGTTATCTGTTGTTGCATTTGTTACATTGTTGGTGAAAACACCTTACGACTACTTTTATCTTCGCCCACAGTGACAGTCCCATTTATTTATCGCTCAAAAAATCATATCGCAGTACCCACATAATTATCAAACTTTGTTAATATTGGTGCCAAATAACTATCCCCTAAAATCGACACTGGGAACTCAAAATTAAAAAAAAGTGAAACTGTTGTGCGTCTGGGAAAACAAAGGATGAAGAAGACCCCAGCCAGGCACCCGGCTGCTTCTTATGTGATTAAAACCAACTGTGCAAAACTTCGCATATCAATTCCAAGTTTCGATATGATCACTAATCCTCGCCATCTTCATCGATGCATTTCCCCAACCCCAACAATTGGCTTTCCCTCATTATCTAACAGTCTACTTAGCATGTGCTATAATATTATACCATTAAACAAAGGGGATAGATGCCGAACACCAATAGTTAAAGACAGTTACCCTCTTCAAATCTTTCACCATCAGTGGCCATATCTCATAAACATAAAGGACTGAGTGAATGGCTGTGCAGTAAACGTGTCCTGTGGTCGACAGGGGGATATCACATCTATACCAGAGACGATATAGGTAATTCCATATTAATTTGTTTATTAGATATATCACACAGTGAGTGAAACAGTATTATTTACTGGACGACGTTTCGAACAAAATTCATCATTGTTCATAATCATATCAATTGTAATCACACGACTTTGAAACTTGAGTTTTGTAGTTTTCTTTGTTTTCTCCTATTTGTCGTCGTAGGGGTAGTAGAATTTTCCAGATATCGGGGACAGGTGTTGAATCATTCCTATTACATGTATTTGCAGGCATAATTTTTGTAGGCCTTCTATTCCGCTTCTAACTCTGTCCGTTGGAAGTGGAGCTCGTAGACGCAGATATTTAGGAATGATTTCATTTTTTAGGCATCGAATGTTGAAAATACGATGATTTTCATATCTAGCGTCTTAACAAAGCAGGGATAAAAGTGGCTGGCATTCAAACCCACAAACTCAATTAGAAACAAGCTTTGTCGGTTAAAGGATCCTGTGGAGTCTTTAAAACAAAACAACTTAGTTTATCTAATACCTTGCCAGAATGATTGGCAGGTCAAATATATAGGTCAAACTAGTAGAATAGGGGCAGTCAGACAAATGTTCAGCTAGTCTAGCTGAACATAAAACCTAGCGAAATCTAGATTGGTTGATCCAAATAAGGTAAGAAATTTAGAGAATAGTTCAGCTATAGCACTACACGCAGTTACAAACAACCACACAATGGGATGGGATAGGATGACAGTTTTCAAATCTAATGTCACAGGGTGGAGGGAGAGATTGATAATAGAAGCTTTGTTTATCGAATCAACTGCAAATACATGTAATAGGAATGATTCATCACCTGTCCCATATATCTGGAAAACTTAACTACCCCAACGATGATAAATAGGAGAGAACAAAGAAAACTATAAAACTCAAGTTTCGAAGTTGTGTGATTACAACTGATATGATTATGAGCAATAAATTTTGTTCGAAACGTCATCCAGTAAATAATACTGTTTCACTGTGTGATATATCTAATAAACAAACTAACATGGAATTACATACTACCACAGTGCCCAAGTTTTACACTTAAATTAATACGACATAAGTTGGTAAATGACAGTTGAGCATTTTCTATCCGTGCTGAGAT